TCGCTAATACGAGTTTCTCGCTCATAGAGGTTTCTCGCTCATAGAGGTTTCTCGCTCATAGAGGTTTCTCGCTAATACGAGTTTCTCGCTCATAGAGGTTTCTCTCTAATACGAGTTTCTCGCTCATAAAGGTTTCTCTCTAACACGAGTTTCTCGTTTATAGAGGTTTCTCTCTAATACGAGTTTCTCGCTCATAGAGGTTTCTCTCTAATACGAGTTTCTCGCTCATAGAGGTTTCTATCTAATACGAGTTTCTCGCTCATGGCGGTTTCTCTCTAATACGAGTTTCTCGCTCATAGATGTTTCTCTCTAATACGAGTTTCTCGCTCATAGNCTAATACGAGTTTCTCGCTCATAGAGGTTTCTCTCTAATACGAGTTTCTCGCTCATAGAGGTTTCTCTCTAATACGAGTTTCTCGCTCATAGAGGTTTCTCACTCATAGAGGTTTCTCTCTAATACGAGTTTCTCGCTCATAGAGATTTCTCTCTAAGGCGAGTTTCTCGCTCATAGAGGTTTCTCTCTAATACGAGTTTCTCGCTCATAGAGGTTTCTTTCTAATACGAGTTTCTCGCTCATAGAGGCTCATATATATATATATATATATATAATTGTCTGTATGTAATATTTTTAATACATGTATATATATATAAGGGTTCCGTGTTTTTTTTCAAGGAACATTGTATTAAAGTTAATTAACACTAATTAAGAGAAATCTTAGTTTCTTTTTGAAGAAATTACCCGAAAATAACATAAAATTTGTTAGTACAAAAAAACTATTTTTTTTTCATAAAAAATAATGAAAAAAATTATTTTTAATAGTTGAATTTCAAGCTAAGACGACTTAATAAACCAACGATGTAATTTAAATTAGTTTTATAAAATAAAAATTTTCTAAATCAAAAATAATTTGCAAAATATCTTATAGTTTGTAAAATTTTTACTAATAAAAATAATTTTTAATTTCCTTTTAATTGGACATAATAATATAAGTTATTTAAATAAGACGCTAAAGTATTTCAAAGGCTTTTCACAAAGTTTTTTTTTTAATTATACAATGTTTCAAATACATTTTGGAAGTGGAAGTGGACTTTCCGGATGAGAGGATGCATGGAAAGGTAAAATATTTTCTTTCTATGCATCCTCTCCTCCGTCGATTAAAGTTAGGCAACGCATATGCAATTGCGTATGTCTATGGGCAACGTTCACTTTGCTATTTCAGCGATTTCTGGAGGCCGCTCGCTTCTTTGCCACCTTATGATATAAAAAAAAATTAAATTCCTCAACCTTTTTATACCGTGACTGTAACACCCCATGTAGCCTTTTGACAAATCATGACTGTTGACACATTAATATTGGCACTTTGATTTTAATATGAATATTTTGTGAATACATCACAATTTGCTACGAGTTTAAAAAATTACAAAAAAATTAACAATCGATGGAAAAAATATATATATTTAAGTATTCGTTTAGCAATAATTATTTTTAGAAATAAATTAGTGTTTATAACTCAATGTAACATTGTTTCGAAAAAATCTTATATAATATATAAAATTCTCGTGTCACAATTTTTGTTCCCATACTCCTCCGAAACAGCTTGACCGATTCTCATGAAATTTTGTGAGCATATTGAGTAGGTCTGAGAATCGGCCAACATCTATATTTAATCCCGCGCAGACGGAGTCGCGGGCGACAGCTGGTTAATTATAAAAAAATAAATTTCGTTCTAACTTAAAATCTAGAGATTCAATTTTCACTGGAAATGTTTGATAATTTTTTTTTTAATTTTCAACCGACTTCAATAAGGAGGTTCTTCAATCGATATGTTTTTTTATATGTAAAGGATTACGTGTCACGTAAGTTCACTTTTGTGAAAACTCGTATATATCGCAAAAACAATTTGTTAATTTTTCAAGTTAATATTTGAACATTATAAAATAAATGTTTCTTGTATCCGTTTCCACTAACGAAATACTTGTTCATTCTGTTTGAACTGAAGCAATATGTTCATGTTTCGGCAGTGGAAACTCAGTTTAAAGCTTTTAAGTCCAATGGATTGTCTTAGTATGTTTCAACATCACGTATTTTTAGTACGTATTATTTATTTTATATGAACAATTGCCAACGAGATGTATTTAATATTTAAGGCTCGAAATGCTTGAATAAACTTTCTGAATATAATTTTGCATATTTCTATTAATACATAAACTCTTAAACCTATGATATAAAATAAAATTAAAAAAAAAAAAAAAACGAATAATTAACTAAAATATGTTAATAAAAGGAGTCCCTTTAGGCAAGGTCCCGAAGATACTGGCAGCATAATATACTTAAGATAAGATACATAAGATACTTGAATAAATACGTCGAAATGAAACTTGTTTATTTTTATATTTTGTATATTTTCAGTGCGAGTTGACTTCACACATATCTTTGACTTTCTCAGATATGTGTAGCATCACGATGTTTTCCTTCACCGTAAGAAACTCGGATAAATGTACGTAAATTGGAAATCGGAAAGCGTCAACAGCTTATTGGTTAAGGGTACGGATTCAATCACGAGGTCATGGGTTCTAAACCCGCCATTCGATTATTGTCGTAAACACAAGCACAAGCATACTTGGAATGGTACAAGAAATATTAGTAAATTAACAAAAATCTGCTATTAATATTAAAAAAAAAAAGACAAACTCATTGTTACATGGCGGGATTCGAACCGAAGATCTGCAAACTACAATTCTTTAAAGGCTTTTAAAATTTTAAAAGAAATACTTCCGAAGGTCTTAAGTCACGCACAATTCTAGATTTCCAGGTCATAGGATACGTCATATTTTAATCTTTGCACTATTGCGTAAGAAATTAAACGCACGAGGCAACACGCTGACGAGTGTGACCTGGTTTGCATTACAGGTGCCTTCAGATGTAGGCTTATAAAAATAATTATATTATTTTGTTGTCAAGTTAATTATTATGTCTTTTCTTGTCGTTCTTTTTGTTATTTATTCCCTTTTGTTCACGATAAGAAAACTGATGTTTTTAATAGATGGCCTTGGTTAGTTGTTTGCTGATTTTAGCGATCTTTGATATTTTTCTAATCTTACTATAATATTATAAATGCGAATGTTAGAAAGATTTTCCAAAACAGCTGTATGTATTTCGATGAAATTTGGGATATATGTAGAACATAGTATCTCAGCGCGGACGGAGTCGCGGTCGACAGTTTTATGCGAAAGTTAAGATGAATGGATGTTTGTTAGAAGGTATCTATAGAACGAATCTCGCTGAAATTTAACATAGATGTAGAACATAGCTTGGAAGAACTTAAGGTACTAATTAAGTTTTTCATCTCGTCCCGGGTAACAGTTAGTAATATAAAATTAAGACTCTATTTTCGAATACAATAAACACGCAAACTATTGAATTTATTTTTCAAAACCTTTACCGAATAAATAGAATAATCTGGAAAGGGAATATTCGAGTATTTGCTTATACTTTTGTCTAATTCGACAAATACATATTCATGAACGATTTTAATATAAACAATATGTGATTTAAATCTATTTAGGTATTTTGCCTAGTTTCTATTTCCTCGTTGTTTCTAGCTGAGAATGCATTTATGTATGTTCCCGTTAGATTGAGACAAAAATATAATAGACGATCGTGAAATTGACCGATAAATTTGAATAAAAAATTATAATTATTTTTCATGAAAATAAAATAACAAAATGGTGTACATATTAAGAAAGTAAATTGCTTTTATTTATAACTTTATCAAACGTGAATTAACCCCTTCTTCTGCGAATTATGAAGTATAAGTTATAAAATTTTTTTTTGCAAGTATTAATTTATTTAGATCTAAAAAATCTTCAACAAAACAAAAAAACCGTAAAGATATTTTTTTTTATTTAAAAAAAATTACACTTTTGAGTAACAGAAAAAAAATCTACAATATATTAACAAAGAAATAGATATGGTGATAAATTAGTAAAAGTCTTAATTTCAAATTTACTGCAACATAGAATCACGACGTTCAAGAATATTGCAAACTCGACATAATATTATTATATTTAAATCGTCGTATTTCTTAGAAAATTATATTCTTTTCTTCTGACGGCAGTTGCATGTAAGTGTTTTTTAATTTTATTTTCCGATATTTAAATTTTTTTAATTAATTATCATATTTCTATTTTATATTTGTTATAACTATTGGAAACTGGACACAAGATCTCATGATTATTTGTCCGTATCGATCTTAATCGATATTAAGATTAAGACGATTGTCGCTTTATATGTATAAATAAACGTCAAAATATATGTTTTATATATAATAAATAGTATTAATTAACAGCTAAAAATCTTTCCTCAAAAAATGTTCTTCGGAAATCAATCCAAAATTATTTGAAGTTTTTTGTAATAGAGTACAATAATTATTCCATCATATTTTCAGTCACTTTTATCTCCAATCAGTTTATTTATAACCTTATAAAATAGCCTTTCTAAAATTAAAACTAAATACGGGACTAATTTTCAGATTCAAGATGGCGTCCTTTCTACCTTATCTGTTGCTCTTTCCCGCGCTGTCACTCGCAAGAATAGATGTCAAAATATTTGGCCTATACGACGGAATCGAGAAAACTGTTGTAATCGATTTCAATGGATCCGATATAGACGTAATATCAGATATTGAAGAAAAAACATTTCATTTAGACGAAGATACATTAAAAATGAGTGCACAAAAATTATTCGGAAACACACCAAACGATGTCTTCTTACGTAGTCCGACGCCATTCGGCGATTTATACAAAACGTACAATTGGGAAGAAGTTAAACGAACAATGAAACCTAAAAACGGTAGAATTTTGAACATAACAAACGAAATGAAAACTATAATAAGTAAAAACTTCGTTAACACAGAAACAAAACCGACTACATTTAATATCGGATTGAAGAAACATCTAGAAAATACTGTTTCATCCTTTTGGACAAAAGATGGCGACCTAACAATCAACAAGGGGATAAACTACGCGATATATTTAGGTAACGAAACCATAACTTACACTTCTTTATGGGGCTTGAATACAGAGAAATCCGTTACCACTGTTTTTGGTTCTGATAATATGCAATTAACATTACTTCCCGGACAATCTGTGACAACTGAATTACGAGCTATGGAGCTTAATTTGGCTATTGAAATGGAGTACACGACCAGTTTAACGGGATCCGTTGCCACGAATTATATGGACGGTTACAAAGACCATCATTACTGGGCATTGGATGTTGACGAATTAATGTCGACCAATAATCTTTCGAACGAGGTTATGTCAACTGAAACTATAGAAATGACTATTTATACAAACCCTCAATTTTTAGTTTTTGATACGAAAACAGGTGAAAAAATGACTGATTTAATTCTATAATGTTTATCTATTTAAAATTAATATTTAAAAATGTATCTTTGATTAAATAAAACAACATTTGATATAACACGCATTTCTTATTTTTAAAAGCCTTATAACATACGAGTTTTTATTATAATTATTTTTACACGAGACATTTATAATTAAATACACTTATATACTTATGTAATACACATAAATAAATAAAACCATTGAGTGATTTGGTTACATCTATTTTTATCTTAATTTCTAAAAAAAGTACACTGACGTACAAAAGTTTTAACAAATTTTCTAAATTATATTATAGTCTTAACCAAAGTTTATTTTTTTATTACAGCAATTCTATTTAATGTAGTAAAATAATTGTATGTAAAACTTTCTTATAAACGTATAAAAAAGCAGAAATCTACTAAATTATTAAAAGTAAAATTAAAAAAAAGTATTATTCCAATATATATGGATGCTTAAAAATATCTGTATTAAAAAAAAAAAAACACGGAATTTCGATATGTATTTTAAATGTGCGCTTCGAAAAATATTTAATAATTGTTAAAAAATGTAATGCACGTCAGTGTACATTTAACAAATAAACATAACAAATACTAAAAAAAAATATAAATAATTGGTTCCTACACGTAAATTGTGGAGTAAAATAGTTATAAAAAAGCATAGATTTTTAAAAAATTAAACATTATTAATATACAAATTATATGCATTAATTTAATTTGCCTACCTTTTTTATAAGTCGACATATTACATCCTCTTTCATACATTTCTATCAGCTGTCATATTTGAATTCCCTCCGTTACTCATAACCTCTTTTACACTATACGTTGAGTACAGAATTAAACATTCTGCCAAAGGTAGCGTACTGGCCACTAAGAACCTTTAACTTTTTAATTATGGAAAAAGGTGATGGTTCAACAGTGGTAGAGCGAGCTTTAACATCTTCGCACGAATTGTCCCGGCTCGCCCGGTGAAATACCACGACCACACAGAAGACAGACGTGAAGTGGAAGCAATTCCGCGTTTCGTCTGATGAGTGTGCGTCCCGGAGGCCTAATTTAGTCCTCTTTCCCTTCCCACTCTTTTTCTTATAAGTAAAGGATGGGAAGTGGAATTGGACTTTCCGGATGAGAGGATGCATGGAAAGGGAAAATATTTTCTTTCTGTGCATCCTCTTCTCCGTTGATTAAAGGTAGGCAACGCATATGCAATTGCATATGTCTATGGGCAACAGTCACTTCGCTATTTCAGCTATTTTAGGTGGCCGCTCGCTCGTTTGCCACCTTATGATATAAAAAAAAGGTAAGTGAAAATATTGATCTATAAATGGACTGGCTATAAGAATAGCATTTTGTGCCTATTTGATTTTGGTCATTTTGGCGCTGATAGTAGCACTTTGTAGCGGTGGTGTAAATTGGAACTAATAATATAGATGACGTAACATCAACAAGCTCGTTCAATTCGGAACGAATAAAAAGCTGTCAATGTCTAGCAATTGCCTATCCATTTATAGAGGTCAGTGGAAAAAAGAATAACGCGGGAATTTTACGAATTACCAACGAAATAAAGTAAAGGATATTATTATTATATTTTGTAAATACATGTAGTTTTGATATAATTATTTAACATCGAATAAAAGCATTTTTGTGTGCATTAATAGTTTGAATTCAAACACGTTCGTCTAGACATTAGAACACAAATTAAACTTTATACGAAACAAAAATGATTAATGTGTAATTTCTACAATATGTTAATTTTAATTGTTAAAATCAGTACTTAAGTCTTCCCTTAGTGTAGATTTATTATTAAAAATCAAAGGCGACGGCAACTTAATGGTGGTTTGGCAATAGATAATTTTTGTACAAAATTATTTTGTTTTTTAGCTACGAAGTCAAGGGAAAAGGCTAGTTTACGGCTATTGTACTTTATTACTATTAGATTTTAATTCCTATATAGATATGACAATTGAATTTAACCTTAAATGTGAATTTTAAAGTGCATTTCCACTGCAGAAAAAAATATGCCAAAGAAAAAATTTTACATAAATGTTATCTCATTTTTTCTAAGATAATGAAAAAGTAAATTTTTGTATATTTGCAGTGGAAATCCACTTTAAATTATTACTATACTAATTGCTGTTAATTTTACAATAAATTATAGAAAAAAAAATCATATGGGCCTGTCCATTTACGTGTGAGATGTGAGATTTTATTCCAACTCCCTCCCCCATCCCCCAATCTCATGTGAGATTAATCAAAATGTGAGTTTCTTACGTATTATACGACTAAATGGATCAAAATAGTAATTTTTTTTTCTGTTTGCGTGATATTTGACTCGATCCCCTCCCCTTAAACACCTCACGTAATTTTTGACCGCCCCCTATGATCGTAACAGACAGTTAGTTACAATTTATTCAATTGTATTGAAATACATTTAAAAAGGAACTTTAATATCGTATATATAATTTACACAAGTATACAATGTTCCAAATGAAACGTAAACTTTAAAACTGCATAATTTTAGTTTATAATTTGTAAAAAAAGATTCTCATGTTCTCGTTAAAAGGATAATCTATATATATTAACAAAATTGGAGTTTATATATGTATTTTTAGACAGTACTAGCTATCGCCCGCGACTCCATCCACGCGGGATTAGAAATAGATGTTGACCGATTCTCAGACCTACTCAATATGATCACAAAATTTCATGAGAATCGGTCAAGCCGTTTCGGAGGAGTATGGGAACGAAAATTGTGACACGAAAATTTTATATATAAGATTAGTTAGAATCGTTTGTCGCGAATGGCGCGCTTTCGTTACAAAGTCAAGTGTCAGAATGATTAGTGAGGGGACATAAACGTTGACATTTTAGTAAGGCTAGTGTTATCAGTACACCTGCACTGTATCGGATTTTCTTCCTAACATTATTATATAAAAAAAAAACATTTTTAGTACACATGAGTAAAGTTGCTAATAATGAAAAGCATTTTTTTTATTCTGTCTATATTTCCGCAAGGCTGCGTTTGTTCAGGATAATCTCCGGAACGGTTGGATTTTAACGGGACTTGAACTGGAAGGAAGCTGATGCATACGGGAATCTTATAGGATTGTCTTCAATGATTAACCATAAGCAATTATTCTTTAAGCAGAGCGTCGGTGGCTCAGTGGTCAAGCACTTGACTTGCAATCTGCAGGTCCTGGGTACGAATCCCGCCATGTACCAATGTGTTTTACGATTTCCGATTTACATATGTACATTTATCCGACGTTCTTACGGTGAAGGAAAACATCGTGATGCAACCTGCACATATCTGAGAAGAAATTCAAAGATATGTGTGAAGTCAAGCAACCCGCAATTGGCCAGCGTGGTTGATTATGGCCTAATCACCCTTAACTTAGGGTAGGCTCTGAGCCGCTCGGTGGGGATGTATAGTGAGCTGATGATGATGATGATGAATTATTCTTTAATATCCCTATTTTTTTTTCGGTAAAATAAAATAATGTATTAATTGCGGCCACGTATTGATGTTTTTATTTACAAAGTTTTTATTTTCATTTGAAACAACGTATAGAAGAGTATATAAAACTTCTAACAGGGAAATAGGGAATATTCGAGATTAAAAAATATTATATATAACAAAAAGAAATCGCTAATTCATACGTAAATACAAAGTTCAATTTAATAGAAATTTAGCATTTACTAAAATTATAACAATATTAAAAAAAAAATTAAGTTAAAACTCAAATGACAGTATAAATTTGATTAAAACCTTAGACTCCATTTCCACTAGTCGCGTATATCATGAATTCCATAATTTTCTTAGTTTGAAAAACATTTTTTTATAAGAGAACGGTTCAAACGAGCAGCGGGAACACCGAGATGATCAACGACACCCATGGACATCAGCAACACCAGAGGAACTGCGGATGCGTTGTCAGCCTTTAAGGAAATGGTATGCTCGCTTCTTGAAGGTCCCTAAGTCGTATTGGTACATGTGAGGGGCGCTAGTGAGCTATCATAATTTAATTCCTCTTTCCCTTCCCACCCTTTTTCTTATAAGGAAAGGATGGAAAGTGGAAGTGGACGTTCCGGATGAGAGGATGCATGGAAGGGAAAATATTTTCTTTCTGTGCATCCTCTCCTCCGTCGATTAAAGGTTGGCAACGCATATGCAATTGCGTATGTCTATGGGCAACGGTCACTTCGCTATTTCAGCGATTTCAGGTTGCCGCTCGCTCGTTTGCCACCTTGTGAAATAAAAAAAAAATATATATGCCCAACATATCTGATATCGGTCTATACATTTTGACATATCGCTAATCGAATACATTTTACTACGGGCTCAGTTGCAGATAAAATGTCACTGGAGTAGAAACCCACTTATGGCGACAGTCGTTTAGTGGAAAAGGGGTCTTACTGAGATGTGCATTAATGCGTGTAGTAGGTATGTCAGGTGTGGTACTGAAGGTGTGCCAGTGGATGTTCGTACAGAGGGTAGAGAGGCTGCGGCGGAAGCGCTGGAGGGTGCGGTGCATCACTGTCATCATCAGTCGACGAATCCAGCGGCTTGTCGCCAGCACCGCCACTGGAAAGTAACAAAAAAATATATTAATACTGGCTGTTGGTCGAGATTATCCGCGAGGAGTAAAAAAAAACTTAATTAGTAGCGTATATGTTCTTCCAGACTATGTTCTACATCTATGACAAATTTCTGTAAGATCTTTTGAGCTGAATATACCTTTTAACATCTATCCATTCATCCAAACATTCGCATTTATTAAAGTAAGAAATAAGAATGTCAATGGTGATTTTTAAAATTAAAAAATAATATTGTCTATGGTATGCGACTGACGTGCGACAATCACGTGACTTATCGATAGTTATTGTCCTTCCTCAAAAAAAGACGTCCAAACATCACAAGCTTACTACTATCTGTTATAAATATAAACTACAAAACCTATTTAATAAACTAGAATAAAAAACAAACACGATCTTAAGTCTAACAGTCGGCCATCTTGTATATCGAGTTTCAGGGGGAGCCTTCGTCACTGCGCGGTTGATTCGAACCGACGTATCGACTAGAAAACAGAACAACGGAGATATACGATATTTTGTATTGTCAAGATATTCCTAAATAACTTCAAATTTATCTCAACAATGGGTTTTCATTGCCGATACATGTATAAATTATCTGAAACAATACAGGCGATAAATATAAAAAATTAGATCGTGTTTCAATTATTTTAGCTTAAATATGTCAACCTACTATAGCACGCTTATAAAAAAATAACAAAATCGGAGCACGAGAGTAAAACATACAGACGAATTGATGACCTCCTTCTTTTTGAAGTCGGCTAAAAACTAGTTGTCGCCCGCGACTACATCCGCGTGGAAAAAAAACATTATAAAGTAGCTAATGTGTTCCAGACTATGTTCTACATGCAGCCGTTCTGCAGATACATCCTAACAAACATCCATCCGTTTAAAAACACACTATTTTATATATCCATCCATTTAAAAACACGTAGAGGTCCAAAATATCAACTGGTGATTACTTTTCTAAGAAATCATACTACTATTATAAATGCAAATGTTTACATGTATGTTTGTTTGAATGTATCTCAAGAACGGCTGAACGGATCTCGATATAATTTGGCATACATATAGAACATGTCTGGAAGAAAACATAGACTACTAATTATGTTTTTTTTTAATCGCGGGGGACAGCTGGTATAGAATAAGCTGTTCCTAGCCTAGTGCAATTGACCGCGTTCTATAGTGTCTTTTGTTTATAATACAAGGAACAAAGTAATAGACAATTTTTTACTTTTTTTTGATACAGCGGTCAACTTTAAGTGCTAAGTCAAGCGTTTCATTCTGCCTGATTAATTCTAAACAAGATTTTTGTGTTTCGGATTTCCTTTGTTAGGACGGACCTTTTGAAAGTGGTTGGTTTTATCTTACAACTAGCTGTCACCGGCGGCTCCGTCCGCGCGGTATTAAAAACTTAATAAGTAGCCTATGTGTTCATCCAGAGTATGTTTTATATGTATGCCATATTCCATCGAGATCCGTTCAGCCTTTCTGGAGATACATTAAAACATACCCCAACCATCTAAATATTAGCATTTATAATATTAGTAAGATTGCATTTATAAAATAATAGCGAAAGGTATTGGTTCTCCTCTGCACAAACATGAATATAAAAACATTCCTATCTCTATCATTTTACTAGAAAAAAATGAAATAGCAACATATTCCAATCACTAACCTCTTTACTTATAGACAGGTTATACGCAATTGTATTTTGTGCCTATTTGATTTTCGCCATTTTGATATTGACGTTAGCGGTTGACAACTGACAGAAAGAACGACGGGCGCTTAAGTCGGAACTGTAATTTCCGAGCAACAACCTATCCAAGAGAGCCATCGAAGTTACGATTTTGAAAATAAATATTATAATTAATAAAATCGATTTAATGAGATGGTCACCATAATATTTCAAATACAATATAAATATAATACAAAATATATTTACAATAAAATAATGCAGTGAAGCGTTTGCTTTCAGAACAGATGTGGCGGTGTCATGTTACGTCATGCTGTCTCTTTCACTCACCATCCGTTTCAAGGAACAATAAATACTAACAATGTTGAACAATTTTGAAACTTATTTCTATTGGAATACAGTTAATTTTATTTATACATATTTGCGATAACATAATTACCAACAAATGTGTTACGCAATTTTTAATCTTATCCCTTACAGATACGTTCCATTATCCTGTAATGTTGTAGAATTATTTTTAAATGGAAATAGCATAAATACGATAATTTTGTATAGCAATTTTGAACTCTATTGTTATTAACTTACAGTTTGGAATCGTATAAATTCAATAATTGTTCCAATTTTAAATTACGATCCCATAATGTTTATGCATTGAATCATTTGTTTGTATAATTTAATTGTTGAAATTTAAATTTTATTCCTATTAAATAAGAATGATTTTCGTAAATTATCAGACAACAATTTATACTAGTTCTTGGAAATTACTATAGAGTTGAATAAGCGTGTGTTCCCATTGCCCAAACATTCACAAACACATATTGGTAGCCTAAAAAGATATGTTTCTTTGAAAAACATTTTTGTACGTTTTAAATCAGTAGCGAAATAAAGTTTGCATAACTTAAAAATTGCTTAATCAACTTTGACATAAATACTTTATGCTGACGAAGTTTTTTAAAAGCAATAATAAGGTTTTAGGTAGAATAATAATAACATTGAGTGTATACGTCTCTCTCTTTTGCTCTTTGCTGTCGGTATATCTTCCATCTCTCTCATGTAACGAAACGTGATCACGCGTAAATTAAGACTCAACGTCGATTCGCAACAAATTATTTCTGTCTAAAGAAATTTCTTTGAAACAAAATATATTTTCTAAATAAGATTAATTATTTTTTAGAATAATAATAAAAACTCTAACAAAGTCTCCTATTTCAAACGCCATAAAGTCTAAAATACATCCTTACGTCTGTTTGATTTTATAGTATAAATAAAAAACAATTAAATATGTTCCTTAACACTTGACAATAAAGTTGTTAATTGTGTAACACACATTAACGTAACGTGAACGCACTCCGCCACGGATCGGGTTACTTACGAAGCCAGCCAAATGGGTAGGCAAACTGTAGGGTAACAATGATATAAGTATTTCCTATTCATTATTTAAACATGTTCCCAAATCTTTATAATTGTAAAAAATTATATATTTTCACTTTTAATGAAAAAAAAATGTAAGTTGTAAAAACTAATATTATATATGCGAATCGTTGGATGTATGATTGGATGGATGTTTGTTAGAAGATATCTCCAGAATGGCTGCATGGATCTGACTGATTTTTGACATAAACATAGAACACAGTCTGGAAGTACACATAAGTTACTTCTTGAGTTTTGTTTTTAAATCCACGCCGACAAAGGCGCTGTCGACACCTGGTGATTTAAATAAAATATATTTTAAGTAACAGTTGAATAAAAAAGAAAAATATGTTTTATGAAACGTATTTGGCTGAAAAGAACGCAATATTTGTCTATCCTTGTTATCCGCAAACAATGTCATAATATGGTGTCATTAGTGATTACTCTGTTTACATTACTTATGTCTGCGTGTCGCGTGTATGTGTGCGTGTTTATTTATAAACTGCACGTCGCTTGAAACTATAGCCGGCTGGCATTTTGTGTTCTGCTGACCCCAGCGGTCTGTACCAACATACACTAACGATAATGACAAATATTAAAACATGTCTCAAAACATGTTGTCAATACATTAGAAACCCAGATAGATCTTACTAATATTATATATAAAAAATTTTGAAAGGATTTCTGTTAGAAGGTATCTCCAGATCTGTATGATTCTCGCTGAAATTTGGCACAAATGTAGAACAAAGTTTGGAAGAACACATTTTTTTTTAATTTCCCGCGAATGGAGTCGTGGGCGACAGCTAGTCGAGGATAATTCACACAATAATTAAAAGAAAAAATATTTAAAACAAAAACTGTGAAGACTTTTCCAACGTTTCCTTATATCGTTCAAATTGATGAATTACCCAAGAAAGGCGATGTTAAGCACCCGAAATAGAGGTGCTTGTATGCGTAGATGTATGAATGTAGAAGCAAGAGAGGTGTGTCAGGAGTTCAGTGGTAACAGTGGTAGAGCGAGCTTTAACATCTTCGCACGAATCGGCCCGGCTCGTCCGGTGAAACACCGCGACCACACAGAAGACAGGCGTGAAGTGGAAGCAATTCCGCGTTTCGTCTGATAAGTGTGCGTCCCGGAGGCCTTATTTAGTCCTCTTTCCCTTCCCACCCTTTTAATTATAAGGAAAGGATGGGAAGTGGAATTGGACTTTCCAAATGAGAGGATGCATGGAAAGGGAATATATTTTCTTTCTGTCCATCCTCTCCTCCGTTGATTAAAGGTAGGCAACGCATATGCAATTGCGTATGTCTATGGGCAACGGTCACTTCGCTATTATCAGCGATTTCAGGTGGCCGCTCGCTCGTTTGCCACCTTCTGATATAAAGCCTACCCCGTCTAGGTTACGTGCGTCAGTTATGTTGTAGATTTTAAACTAAATAATCATTTGGCATACAGCTAACTAGTATAATTAGGCTATAGGATGTTTAACAATAACAATGTTTTCCGTTACCATTGTTCATCCTGATGTGTGAATCTTACTAATATTATAAATACGAATGTTTAGATGGATGTTTGTTTGAAAGTATCTCCAGAACGGCTGAACGGATCTCGATGAAATTTGGCATACATATAGAACATGTTTTGGAAGAACACATAGACTACTAATTATGTTTTTTTCTGTTCAGAGTCGCGGACGATCGCTAGTAATAACATAGTAACTCAAGATCATTGACCTCTATAAATGGAGTGGTTATACGACGAAGTATTTTGTGCCTTTTTGATTTTCGCCATTTTGACGCTGATTGTAGATATTTGTAGCGGTGGTGTTGATTCCAACTAATAATATAGACACAATTAATTGTCACGTAACATTAACAGACGCGTATAGATTGGAACAAAGTAAAAGCTGTCACTTCCAAGCAATTCCCTATCCATTTATTTCATATTTTTTCTCTATCCTTTTAGACTACAGAACCCTTCTGGGAAGTGAAGTATTTAACGGACATCTAGCTTCTAGCTTTGATTATTGTAGGTCCGAGAATATTTTGAAAACAATTACCTACTCCAAAACCTCAATAAAAATGTTTTATCTTCGTAACACGAAACATATTGTAGTTTTTTTAAACACACAGAACAAATAAGTATAAAGGGAAATAATTAAAAGAAGCCGTATTAATCGTTTATCAGGATAGATCTAAGGGTCTAATCCTATTTGTAGGACCCTCTTCCATTGTGCTCTGACGTGGAAGTTATTAAAAAAAAGGCATGTGCGTTCGAGTCTTAATGATTTTACATTATGCTCCATTGATTTATGGACTCCTGGTACTTTTCAAAATAAATGTGTATTCAAATATAAATTTTTGTATACGTTTCCATTGGCAAACATGTACAACAACAATATTTAGGTACGTATTTAATTACTAGCCGTCGCCCACGACTTCGTCTGCACGAAATTAAAAAAAAAACATAATTATTAGCTATGTGTTCTTCCACATGCTCTACATCTATGCCAAATTTCATAGAGATACGTACATCTAAACATTCGCATTTAAAATATTAGTAAGATTATATGTAAGTCTTGATTAAAAAAAAAAACTAATAATCAAGTTGAAAAAACAAAAAGTTCTTCGACCCGGTGAGAGTACTGTAGTCCTGGTGTTTTGACCGAGTAATCAACATTAAATAAATAATAAAAAATAACTTACCTATCTTTATGTTCTGCCTGTCTGTCCCTTTGTCGTCTATTTTTAAACCAATTTGACACCTGAAACAAATTAAATTAACAAATATAACTCTTTGCTTTTAAACATTATATCCATCTCTGTTTTTCTCAAAGGTAACAGAGATAGCAATTTTCGTAATACGATAAAATTAATAGTATTTAAGCCCATATACTAGTGCATAACAGTGGTTCATGTGACGTTCTTACGGTGATGGAAAACATCGTGATGCTGCACATATCTGAGAAGACCAAAGATATGTGTGAAGTCAACCCGCAGTGAGCCAGCATTGACTATGGCCTAATCAATAACTTAGGGTAGGCTCCGAGAACCTCAGTGGAGACGTATAGTGAACTGATGATGATCATTACACATTGGTAAAGTGAATCGTCTGTAGGTTTTATAACCGTGGGTTTCTGAAATCAATCGCCGTTTAAAACATATCATCTCTGCTTTATCATAGATAAAAGACAGAGATGAGAATATGTCATACAGTTTTGGTGTTCGATACCCATAGTTATTAAAGTAACAATTAAATTATTATTACCTGTACAGTAGTCAGTCCTGTGGTCTCTGCCAACTCTCTTTTCTCTTTAGGCGACGGATACGGATTGTGGAGATACCAATCTCGTAGAACTGATCGGGATTTTTCCTAAATAAATTCAATATAATATTACATTCAGATTCAAAGCGAGAATAAGTATTTATATTTGAATCATTGAATTACCTATTCTAATAATAAGTAATTCATTGTTTTTATTAAATTATATTAGCAAGCATAGAAATCTAACGGTAGCCAAGCCAGCGTCAGTTGTAGCATTTAAGGCGCCCTGGGCGAGATTTTTGCGGCGCCATTTTAATGTCGGTGGGAAATCTTCCATATATAGCGTATCTTATGGCGCCCTGCAGGCGCCCCCTTTATATTCGATTCTAACGCCTACGGCGCCCCCTTATGCCCGGCGCCCTGAACGGTCACCCCGCCTCATCATACCCTAATACCCCTACTAGTTACTGCACTATTGGTATGCAGCAATCAAGGGTCCTTACTCGCGAATGGAATAAAAAACCTTACGTTTTATCACAAAAATTGCGCTCACGCGATGAAACACCTCAACCAAAATTAATACAGCTATAAAATTTATTTAAACGAGTTACGTAACACACCTTAAAACAATAGGAAGTCTCCTCGCCGTCCCATATAGTGCGGGGCAGGGGGAACTTGCGTCGTACGCGGTACTTGCCTACCGCGCCCAGCGGCCGACCTCGCAAGCGTTCCGCCTCCATATAATGAGCTGAAAAAGCATAGATTTATTAAAGGCTGACATACACGGACTTGCAGCTGCAGTCGACTGCATAAAGCGGTCACAATTATATTCCACAAATTATCCAATTTCACCACTGATCTCTATAAATAGATAGGTGATTGCGTGACGGGTCTATCTATATTATTACTTCGAATCAACAACATAGCTACAAACCGCTACCATCAGCGCTTTGTGAAAATCAAATAGGCACAAAATACTCCATCGTATAACCAGTCCGTATATAAAGGTTTAGATAGATGGACGGATAGACGTTTGTTTGAAGATATCTCCAGAACGGCTGAACGGATCTCTATGAAATTTGGCTTACATATAGAACATAGTCTGGAAGAACACAGTGGGTACTAATAATGTTTTTTTTTAATTCCGCGCGGACGTAGTCGCGAGCGTCCGCTAGTATAACATATTGAGAATGTTACATACAATTTGTTAAATTACAGAATGTTGAAATTCACAATTAATCAATAACACACCTTTCAACCACAAATTCTGGAGCTTCGTGTGATTATGCGGACTGAATGTATGCGACTCTAACAATCTGTAGAGTTCTTTAAAATTGCCTCTATGAAAGGCTACCATTGCCTTTGCTTTGAGAACTGACTCATGGGCGTGCAGTCTCTCACACGCTGGCAGAGACCAGAGGAACCTGCCTAGGCGTTCGATGTTACCAGCTTGCTGAAGAACCTGGAGAAAGAAAGAATATTACTGTAAATTGTATACCTTTATCTTACTAATATTATGATGAGATGGATGGATGTTTTTATGTCTAGAATGGTTGCATAGAGCTTGCTGAAATGTAGCATAGACGAAGAACATAGTCTGAAACAACACATAGGCTACTATTTTTTTTTCTCAATCGACGCGGACAAAGTCGTGGACGACAGCTAGTCTATACATATTAATATTATTGGAGTATCTGTCAGTTATATCGAGAAAAAATATAGTTTAGAAGATGCATTTGCGTCGATGGCAACGAAAACACAATTTTTAAATTTTTTGTCTGTGCGCAAGTCCACGTTTGTTCCTTGTATTCTCCCGAACGTCTAGACCTATTATGACGGAACTGAGATGGTAAGGCTGATGCACGCAAGCTTATAGGCTATTTTTTTATTCCTGCGTTTACGAAGTCTGGGGCGATTAAGTCATTCTCTAAAATCTTATTCCCATAACTAACTTTTAGCCCAAGGGTGGTCGCACACACAAATAATATTTGCAAGGGCACGAACATATGCCTAAGACATCCGGTTTTTTTTTATTTAGCCTAAACAAATAATGCAGTCTGAACGGATCCACTAAACAAACTTCCCTACGTTTTTGTTTAAGATGTTTAATTTAATAAGTGTGTTACTGTAATGCGTGAACGTGTTAGATATTGTTTTTTTACGGTTTAAACAAAATAGTATAGTTATTTTAAAGCCAGTAAATCTGGCTAAAAAGACAAGGAAGAAAATATATTTACGAGGAAGAGGCAAGTCATCATTAGCTAAATGTCCCTTCGGATGGGCTCGGTGCCTACTCTATGTTAAGGGTGACTAGGCCATAGTCAATCCTGGCGTAGTGCGGGTTGGTTAGATACGAGTGAACGCGTCAAATATAAATCAATAAAAAAAATAATAGCCTACCTATCTAGGCAAAGCGTATCAGGTTCTCAAATCTGACTGACTATGAAACAGGAAAAGAATAAAAAAAATGACTCTACATGCTTGAAAATTTAATTAGCAGCCTATGTGTTCTTCCAGATGTTCTACATCTATGCCAAATTTTAGCGAGATCTATTTAACTATTCTGGAGATACTTTCAAACAAACAAACATCTATCCATCCAAACATTCGTATTTATAGTATTATTTAGACTTTCTATCAAGAGTGAGATGGCAATATGTTTTTGTTTCGTCAGTGAAAACACAGTTACAGTTATCTTGTTCATAGGAATTTCTAAGCGTGCGAATGTCCGTCAGCGGCTGCGAAACCGTTGATTCTGCGACATCCGATATGCACGACATATGATACCCTAGTACCTACGTCTTGTTACCTCTAGCTATGTGAATAGATGTTTTTTTTAACTAATACGGTTAGGTAATACGTCTAGGTCCTAGATATAGTCAAACAAGGCTATCTGCGGGTCTAGACAAAATGCATTCGCTCCGTAGCGATTCCATAACAGTGGTAGAGCCCGCTTTAACATCTTCGCACGAATTGGCCCGACTCGCCCGGTGAAATACCACGACCACACAGAAGACAGGCGTCAAGTGGAAGCAATTCCGCGTTTCGTCTGACGAGTGTGCGTCCCGGAGGCCTTATGTAGTCCTCTTTTCCTTCCCACCTTTTTTCTTATAAGGAAAGGATGGGAAGTAGAAGTGGACTTTTCGGATGAGAGGATGCATGAAAAAGGGAATATATTTTCTTTCTGTGTATCCTCTCCTCCGTGGATTAAAGGTAGGCAACGCATATGCAATTGCGTATGTCTATGGGCAACGGTCACTTCACTATTTCAGCGATTTCAGGTGACCGCTCGCTCGTTTGCCACCTTATCATATAAAAAAAAACCGAACTTCAAATGTGTCTCACGCACGAAAATCACGTGACTTATCAACAGTTAAAAATGGCTTTTTCTTACAAATTTTATAATGAAAAACATTTCTACGTAAGTGTACAATGAGTCATTTTAATTGTAAATAAACTAAACCAGGTCACCAAAATACAATCGTCATCAAAAGTCGAATAAACTTATATATTAATTATCACAACACTATATATAGTTGTCTCAATTTTTTCAAAGAGAATGTAAGGGATGGCAATAGGAATTAATACAAGAGTCAGTGCAACGGAATTCAACTGTTATATTTCATCAATATTTATGCAATTTATTACTGCTTTATTTTATTTGCTAACTAGCGGTCGCCCGCAACTTTGTCCGCGCTGAAATAAATAAAAAATAAGTAGCATATGTGTTCTTTCAGACTGTGTTCTATATGCCTTTCCTTCTAACAAACATAGTTCCATCTAAGCATTCGCACTTATAATATTAGTAAGCAAGATTGCAGACTTTGTCGGCGAGCGTCGGTGGCTCAGGGGTCAAGCGCTAAACTTGCAATCTGCAGGTTCTGGGTTCGAATCCCGCCTTGTACCAATGTGTTTTTCGAATTCCTATTTACATATGTACATTTATCTGACGTTCTTAAGATGAAGGAAAATATCGTGATGCAACCTGCACATGTCTGAGAAAAAATTCAAAGATATGTGTGAAGTCAACCAAATCCACACTTGGTCATCGTGGTTGACTGTGTAAGCCCTTCGGTGGGGAGGTACAGTGAGCTGATGATGATGATGTCATCCGGGGATAGCGTAGCTTTCCAACAGTGTAAGAATTTTTCAAATCGGTTCAATAGTTTCGGAGTTTATTCAATGCAAACAAACAAACAAACTACATAGAAAACTTATATTATATATCTACCAAGTAAATCTTACTAATATCATAAATGCGAATGTTTGTTAGATGTTTTAGACATTATTAATTACAATCCATTGTCGCGAATGACGTGCTTTCGTTGTAACGACTAGACTTTGTAAAGTCTAGTGTCAGAATGAATAGTGACAGGACATAAACGTCGACATTTTAGTAAGGCTAGTGTTGATTCAATACATGGTACAATATTCCTAACAGAAGATATCTCCAAAACGGCTGAACGGATCTCGATGAAATTTGGTATACATGAACATAGTCTGGAGGAACACATAGGCTACAAAGTTTTTTTAATCCTGCGCGGACAGTAGTAAATTATAAGACTATAATTGCATATTGAAGAATTACAATACACACCCTTAATATTATGCGAAAAGCATCCCTCTAATGGTTTGATAGTATCAGTTACACGTTATTTGTGCAGGGGAAGGGTGAGATAATGGACTTAGGGCTGCCATATGATTGTTACAACCCTCAGGGTTGTTAAAGTAATTATATGCAGATTTGTAATCGTATATTCACATATAATTGGTATCTGTTGTTTAATAACATTTATGTTTTAACTAGCTATCGCCCGTAACTCCGTCCGCACGGAATTTTAAACTTAGTAACCTATGTGTTCCAGTCTATGCGTTGAGCCGTTGTGGGGATACGTTCTTACAAACATCCATCCATCCAGTTACCATTTATAATATTAGAAGTAGAAAGCTAGATTAATATTTGCAGAATGCATTTTGAAGCATTTGGAATATATCTGGAAGAACACTAATGAAGTTATTTTTCCTAGTAGAGAATAATTCATGACTCAACTAAAATCAAATCAATACACTTTTTATTGAATCAGAATGTTGAATAAAATGATTTCTATTATATAGAAAGTGGAATTAATTCGTGAGGCAAATATCATTCGTTTACCGGATGACACCCACCGATGGAAACCGCCCCTAAACTCCGCCCCCACGTAACCTGATATCCGGTTAGCGAAGCCTCGTTGTCATAGTTACTGTTTGTATAACTTGATGAGTTTACGTGGCTTTTAGGGTACCGTACGCTTTATTTATATATATTTATAATTGTTAAGGAGCGTCGGTGGCTCAGGGGTCAAGCACTTGACTTGCAATCTGCAGGTCCAGGGTTCGAATCCCGCCATGTACCAATGTGTTTTTCGATTTACATATGTACATTTATCCGACGTTCTTACGGTGAAGGAAAACATCGTGATGCTGCACATATCTGAGAAGAAATTCAAAGATATGTGTGAAGTCAACACGCACTTGGCCAGTGTGGTTGACTATGGCCTAATCACCCTTAACTTAGGGTAGGCTCCGAGCCCCTCGGTGGGGACGTATAGTGAGCTGATGATAATTGTTAAGGAAATTGGATTGAAGGAAAACTGAAAAAAGTGGAGAATAAAAGTAATTCTTTCCGGAGATACCTTTTATCGTGTGTCTATTTAAGATAGATTAGTTTGACAATTCTCTAGAGATGGATTGATTAAAAACGGTTATGAAAATTTACGATTTTCGATGTCGATTGTTCTTATAGAACTTGCAATCGTAAATTTCCTTGATTATTATTTTTGATTTACAATATAAATTAAATTGTTTCTTTTTATAACTTTATTCATCAAAAGTATGTAGAAAATAAAATATTAAACCAAAAAATTGAGATGTTTATAACTTCTTATTCTGCTAGCTCTACAGCCCTTTGTGGGCCTTGGCTTGGTCCAGCAACTTTTTCCACCTCGGTCTATCTCTGGCCACGGACTTCCAGTTTGCTATGCCCACTTTTTTGCGTCCTTATTAACGCCGTCTATTCATCGGAGCTTTGGTCTCCCTCGACTTCGACGACCTTCGGGATTAATCGCCATAACTCTCTTAGGGACTCTGGCTTCATCCATCCGCTCCACGTGGCCGGGCAATCTAAGCCTGTTCCACGTGGCCGGCCCATCTAAGCCTGTTTATAACAGAAGGGGGCAAACGGGCAGCGGGAACACCGAGATATTCAACGAAGTGGACATCAGCAATACCAGAGGAACCGCAGCTGCGTTGCCGTTGAGATATTGAGAAACAAAACGGACTGTTTTTAATAAACATAAGTTATAGTCGTTTTATTAAATTAATATTATTACAAGACCGATCCTCGATAGTTCATAGTCGTCTGACAACCGTCCAATAAGTACAATATTAATCCTCATACAAAATAAAATCGATACTTTATGGGCGTCATCAATCAAACATCCAACGAAACTTTCGCTTTAAGGACATTAGTAGGATTAGTAAATATATTTTTAATTGCCTAAAAAAAAAAAAGAAGCACAGATTAATTAATATGTTTTTGTGCAAGTTGATCAATATTTAACTGAATATGGTAGCAAAATTTTACACGAATTATTAAATATGACTACGAATATTAATAAATCGATACTATTTTATCTATTAGTCGTTTATTTCGTCTACTTTAATGTCCTTCTTATTCCCATTTACATAAATTTAAATTATTTAACAATTTATAATATCGATACGATATTGATTATATCATATAAAGATGAAAATATCTCTGTCAGTTTGTATCGTTTTCAAACTATTTAACGATTTTATGATTTACTAAGAATTAAAAAATAACTTATTAAGTAATAAACAAGCCTATGTGTTATTCCAGGCTATGTTCTACATCTATGTCAAATTTCAGCGAGATATATTAAGCGGTTTCGGAGATACCATCAAACAAACATTCTGTTAACATTCGCATTTATAATATTGGTAAGAAGTAACTAGCCGTCACCCGTGACTTTCTCAAAGCAGAATTTAAAAAAAACATTACAACTCTACACATACGTTCCTTCCAGCCACCAACAGTTTTTGATTTTACCCGGAACAAAAGCGGATTCGCAGACAGACAGACAGACACATATTTTCGTTATGAGCATCGCTAATACTATAACATGTTCACTTTTATTATTTGTAGAGATGAAAAGAGTGATCTGTAACTGGGCATCCCATGGATTAATGGAATGTTTTGGCAATGGATATCCACTGTTAAAATTAATTGTAATAATGAAATACCATCATCATCTGCTCGGAGCCTACCCTAAGTTAAGTGTGACTAGGCCATAGTCAACCATACTGGCCAAGTGCGGGTTGACTTCACACATATCTTTGAATTACTTCTCAGATATGTGCAGGTTGCATCACGATGTTTTCCTTCACCGTAAGAACGTAACGTAAGAATAGCTACGAATAGTAATGAAAAATATTCGAATTAAAACCACTTTTTTGATCGATATTGAAGACGAAATCTATTGCCTTCACCCGAAATACTGGCAGATATTGATGTTGCTTTTTTAAATTTAACCAAAGATAACAAAATGATATTTATTATCTACTCGTTTGTAGACATCATCGCGGTAACAAACAAGTAAATCAAAATGTCTATGATTTGTTGTGTATAAATAATCATAATACGTTTATATCTTTATTATGTTATTAATATTTAAATATATGACATTTCAAATATAAACCAGTTTACTTTAAAAACATATTAATGTATAAATACGATTATTGATAGTTCTTAATATAATTTTTAACAGTAAAACATTCAATTGCACAATTCAATTCAAACAAACATTGCTCTGATACCCCAGTTGTTTACAAAACAATAGAAATGCTGCACAATCCAATATCGGTTTTAAAGATACCGCACCCGAGAGTTTACTGCGCATCCTTCTTTGTGGGAAATCATCCAAAGATAAGGCAAGCGCCCTTGGGGATCACCCCACCACGCCCTATACTAACACGGCTGCTAATTTTGAATGCAAAAATGTTTAAAAATAATGTTTTAATTCAATATGCTAATTGTATAATGGACGTCGGCAAGGGGACATCTCAAAAACATCAGATCATCAGCTCACTATACGCCCCCAACGAGGGGTTGGGAGGATAATCTTACTCACGGGTGACTAGGCCATAGTCAACCACGATGGCCAAGTGCGGGTTGACTTCACACATATCTTTGAATTTCTTCTTAGGTTGCATCACGTTGTTTTCCTTCACCGTAAGAAAGTTGGATAAATGTACATATGTCAATCAAAAATCGATAAACACATTGGTACATAGCGGGATTCGAACCCAGGACCTGCAGATTACAAGTCAAGTGCTTAAACCTCTGAGCCACCGACGCTCTCGGGTCAGCAAAAACTACGACTCATAAAAAATTGTACTAAATGTTGTTAAGCTTTTGGAATAATTAAATTTTTATCACAATTTTTCCTATCCTAGAGTTTTTCGACCTTGAGCGTGGTAATGAGTTAGGTTTTGAATTTTGACATATAAGGTTGTTGTGTGTCTAGTCATAAAAATAGGCACTCTGTCCGTTTTACATTGATTTTGAATATTAATTACGTTGTTTTTTATTGTAATAAAAATAAATATGAATATATAATTGATTTTATATAACTTGTTCTGCTAAAATATGATGTAGTATTGTGAAATAGGAAATTTGAACAGAAGTTTGTCTATTTTATATCATAAAATTGACTTTGGCAACGGATGCTTATGAAGTATGATAATTATTTTGTATGACAGTTAATGTCGTACTTATTTGACATGTGTTAGGGACGTTATGTGCACAACAAAGAACTATCGATAATAGGTTTTAAAAATATGTTTTAGTTAAAATATAATTGAAACCTAAGATTTAAAATAATGATCGACTACTTTTTGCAACGCTTAATTAGTAGTAAAACTATTTCCTCTTTTTTCATAACACTGGCCACTACTACCTTTTTTTAATTAGAAAAAAAAAGAGAGCACAAACCTCGCAGACGCACGCGACCTGCTCCTGTGTGAAGCCGAAGCTCGGCAGGGGGGCGTCCCGGGGGGGCGTCGCCTCCCGCTGCCCCCATTCGGGGCCCCCCAGCATGTCCAAGTGCTCGTCCCCGGCCACTTTGACGCCACTATTTAACACCAACCAAACTATTTGCGCACTTCACACACTGGCCACTTCTAACCTTGAAACAGATTTGACAGTTCGGATGCGCGCGATTTTTGACACAAGATAAATCCTGATATGTCCACTAATCTTAATTGATTTAATCTTTACTATTATTTTTAGTAAACAAAGGAATATATGTTCAAAGTTTTTTTTAAATCACTTTTATTTAACCGGCCAGTCCTGTCTGGTTTTAGACTCTATTTAATTTGATATGTTTTATTACGATTAAGAATAAATTAATTTCACTGTCTTTATATCTTTAGATGAACTTTACTCTTGATTTTCTCTTCTTTTTCATTTTAGTTGACGCGCACTTAGATGTTGTACCTAGAAAAAAAAGAAAAATAATCTTTCGTACTCTATATACGATGCAAAAAAAATCATTCAAGAAACTTAGTTAACAATAACTTAATAAACATCGACAGCTAGCTATCTATAAATCTAAGTTACTATACCTTACTAATATTATAAATGCGAAAGTTTAGATGGAAGGATGTATGTTACAAGGTATCTTCGGTTCGATTCGTTGTTTCCCTTCATTCATTATTCCAACACAAAGACTGCAGAAAGATAAATCAAATGTCAAATTAAATTTATCATCGCATCTGTCAAATAATTGCTATCTGTCATTCTTATACGACAATCTTAATTGAGATTGCGTTAGCAATCCATTATCCAATATTTATAACAAAAATACCATCACGTATTATAAAGTATTACCAAGATCAAGACAACAAAAGATTTACTATATATTTTAAATAAACAAACAACGAAAGTGCACCTTACTTTTTTTTGTTTACAAAAATTTCTCGAAACAGATCGACATCTTTGATATCACTATCTCTTTCGGACATAATTTAGTTGAACGTGTAGGAATGAGATGGAAAATCGTGAAGGGGCAAGATGTTAAATGCTTGGTGTTTTAAGTAATTTTTATCATCGACACGATCGCGGGGGAGGCCGCTGATGTATAGCTGACGGGTTAATAGTGATGTACAGGCAAATATCGATAAATTTCTCATTGTTAATTTCAATGCATTAAAATAATTGAACTGTCCTATATATTTCTTCTTAGTCGTCGCCATATTTACGTCGCCATTGAGAACTTTAAGCTTATTTTAAATTAGAGATGAATATTATATATAACAGCAATGTTGTACAGTAACAATCACCAAACTGCATTTAACGGGAATTCCAAAAGGTTCGCTATATTCTGTGTCGCCAACATCAATTTAAGCACTTTTTGAATGACCTAATTGGTTTAGGATGTTTCTAGAATGATACAGGAGAGGAGATACACTGTTCTTTTTCCCGTACGTAGTTCACAATGGTAAACTATGATGATACCGAAAAGTTGACATGTAACATACTATATTGCAATTAATCGAGGTCTCCTTATGTTCGCATTCATCCAAACAGTATAAAAAACAAGTAAATAGCTTATGTATTCATCCAGAATACGTTTCACAGCTGTGCCAATTTTCAACAATTCCCCTAAAAACGTTCTGATGCTACCTTCATACATCCATCCATGTATCCAAACTATCACGTTTATAATATTATCAAGATTAACTGAAAACGTATTGATAGTCTGACTAAACATTATAACGTGTAAGCCGGAACATCCAATTTCGCCCACGTTTACTCGGAATTAGTTCTAATTAAATTCTTGCTTAGAGTTGAAGGGCTTCTTAATGTAGCCCTTCAACACTCAATATTATCAGTATAATGCTAAACTAACAATTAAAAAACCTGTATAACATTCAAGCAATGTGTGTGCGCACTTAATAGTACAAATACAGTGTTTGTCTGTTTGTATGACTCGTTATATTTAAATCTATAGTAAAGTATCTTTAAATAATTTGTATTTTATATATAAAATTCTTGTGTCACAATGTTACCATACTCCTCCGAAACGGCATGACCAATTTTTATGAAATTTTATATGCACTCAGTAGGTCTGAGAATCGGTTACTATCAATTTTTCAGATTGTAATTATGTAAAGTGCCAAACTACGCAAAAATTTTCGAGCTACGATACTCTTAATAAAAGCGTTTTCGCAAAATTAACATCAATATTCAACGGTAAAATACACAAAAAAAACTAAAAATACATAATTTTAAAATCTATTCTCGAACGTTATTTTTTCCTTCCACTCTGGCGAGCCTCCAAATATCTATTATTTGTCAACTTGTGTTCTGTAAAAAGTTTGTCTATGGTATTTGTGTCATAACTATTTATTTTGATTCTTGTATTTCGAGTACTCAAAAAAAACAACCTACTTACATTTTAGTGTTCTCAGAATTTCATCCCACGATTATGTTCTAGATTATTTTATTAGTTACCATTTTAAATTCGTCGTTTATGTCGTTTCGTTTCCTCTAATAGGGATGATGTTTACTATTTTTTCATAAAAAGCTCTTATGATAAAACATGGAAATGAACAGATGGTTCGTTTGCCCTTAAAAATTCTAGCCTTAGTGTAGACAAATTGCTTAATTGAGTTAACAAGGTTAAATAATTAAAATTCCTTGCAAGACTTTCAAACTTATGTGCGCTTTACAAAATAATATCTATACTAATATTATAAAGCGGAAGAGTTTGTTTTATTTAAACGCGCAAATCTCAGGAACTACTGCTCCAATTTAAAAAAATCTTTTTTTGTTGGATAGGTTAGTTATAGACGAAGGCTTTAGGCTATATAACTTTACACCAATAGTTTTTTTTTTATTCCGCGCGGACAGAGTCGCCGGCGACAGCTAGTCATACTATAATATAATAAATGTAAATGGCTACTAATTACGTTCTTTTTTTAATACCGCGCGGATGGAGTCGCAGGCGACAACTAGTGTTTTATACTTTATTACAGAAACAGGTTTTATAAAGCAAAATGTAATAATTTTTTAAATTACATCGATAAAACGAGCACATCACTATCCACCCCACGTGGCGTTGCGATCCTTATCTAACAACACCAGCTGTAAAACACAAGATTTATCGACAGATTGCCGCGCGCGATAACGCACAAATCACCGCACTATTTGTAATAACATTTTATAGGACATTCTTGAAATAATACGCCATCTTAAATTTATTTTATTAATTTAATTAAAAATGTTTATGATTTTATAACTGCAATTATTTGTATTTTATTATTTCTGATATAATTTAAGGTTTTTATTGCTATATTTCTTTTATTTCTTACCCAATTTTACTAAAAATTTTTATTACTAAAAATCAATTCTTACATTATCGAATGTTTTGACGTTATACTTTTCTTGTTCCTATTATTTGAAAAAAGAATAATAACAAGACAAAATTTTCCAGCCTGTAACATTATAAATTTTTATTTTATAAAACATTCTAAATTTAAAAAAAAAATTAAAAAGTTACCAACGCCGTTTCAAATAGGCCTAAAACAAGCGACTCGATATTATCTGTAATACGTAAAACGATTCGTTTATGGTCACATGCCCGTTGTGAGCTTAATTAATGACCATATGGTCTCGTATTACAAGTGGAATTACGAGCCAAGAACATAACATAAACATGGTTACATTTCGGACATGTGTTTTAACTTATATCACTACAGTTTCGGTGATTTAATTTAAATTTATATGAGATTCGTTTACGTTTTTAGTAACGTTTCAATTTTTACTTACAAATGTAAAGTTGTCAGTGTTTTATCATCATATTTATTGAATAGTTTATTTACAACAGAGAAATTGGGTGGTCTGAACTACAAATGCAATAAAATCTTATATGAATTTTTTCAAACCAATATTATACCTCCGTGGAGAATAAAATGGACGCATTTTCCAATCTCTCTTTTCGCTTTTCACTACTTGACTGCCAGAATGCTTCTTTATATTATTGTATCCGTTTATTCAAATAGAATGAAAAGAGATAACATCATCATCCGCTCACTATACGTCCTCACCGAGGGGATCGAAGCCTACCCTAAGCTAGGGGTGACTAGGCCATAGTTAACCACGCTAACCAAGTGCGGGTTGGTTGACTTCACACATATCTTTGGATTTCTTATCAGATATGTGCAGCATCACGATGTTTTCCTTCGCCGTAGGAACGTCGGAAAAAAAACAGTACATTGGGGATTCGAACCCAGGACCTGCAGATTGTAAGTCAAGTGCTTTACTCCTGAGCCACCGACGGTCTATAAAAGAGTTCAATTCTACAATTTGAAGAATTTATTGTTATTTAATAAAACCTCTAAAAAACAAACGACATTTGTTATATTTATAAAAAAAAAACTTTTTCTAACGACATCTTCATTTTTGGTGACAAATAAAAATATGTTGAGGTTAACATATCTACTACGAAAAAGTAGTTAAACCGTCACCTATTTACCGTGTTTATGTTTCATTAGAACAAAAAATCTTAAAACATAATCGAAAAATCAGCTCTCACCCCAGGCCATCATCGGGAAGGGTACTTGTATTGTAGAAAAGAGACGAGACTTATCCACTGGGTGAAGCCAGGGTGGATAGTTAACATATGAAGAAATCTCCAAGCCTATCTTTCGGGAGGTCGTGGTTATTCCCTAGTTGAACCGTAACTTTCATACTTTGGTTATAGTCGTAACAAAGCTTCACCAGACAACACACATAAAAAAACGATTAGCTCTTGATATAAATTAATATTATTGAAATTATCAAAATATTTGAATAATTACAGATACTATAAAAGATAATAAGTAAAAAGTGTATTTTACAAAAATAATATGTTTCTATTATGAATTCCGCTTCCGGTTTGCTTTAAATTTTTCTTCCTCTATTCCTTTTTTTACGTTCGCCTTCACTACTATAAGGAAGTTATTTCAAATTGAAATTAATTAAATTTCACGTTCCGTCGGCAAATGTTTTGTTTGGAAATTAAGCCATACTCTATTACCGGTATTTAAGAAAATAATAAGGAAGAGACGTCTTGTCCCATACTCACATGCAACGCTCTAAATTAAGACACTCACATCGCACGAAGTTTAACAAGCTACTGCTAAAAATAACTACATCCAGTGACGAAAACCAACCTACATTTAAACCAAATAAATCGTCTTATAAATCACTTTATAAGGTCACACATTAGTACTCATAAACAAGCTTCACTTTAACGCACAATTAAATCCAAAAACGTTATACGAAAAGCCGCGTTGAAACAGAAAAACGTTGAATCCTTTTTAACGTCAAATACGTCCACACTGCCCGGACACTAAAATGGAACTGGTTTGACATTACTTCCGTTCTCGTCCCTGATTGGTCAGATGCACGCGGCACGTCGTATGAACCAATGAAGTTGTTTTTGGTAGTGCAAAGACAACGCCTTCCATTGGCTTTCATATCCGTTCGCCATTTTTCGACGTTGTTGAACAATTGTAATTATTAAAGTAGGCGGTTAACTATCGTCGGCTCGGAACCATTTGGGAAAATACGATATAAAAATATACATTACCGCCCCACACAGAACAGCTGACATAATCACAATAGTCTGCCTGAAAGAATCTTGTAAAAAAAATACGGATTAAACGCAAAGTACACGAAAGAATAAAAAGCATTATTTCAAAAAAGCTTTTATAGAGCGTCGTTAATCAAATAGAATTACAAACAATATGTTTCACATCTTACAATTCTACTATTTGACTAAGTTTTTAACATAAAATACACAGTCGACTTTTTAGACTCCGTTTTTGGAATAAAGTACGTGCGTTCATAAAGCCAGTGTTGGGCAAAGTTAATTTTTTATCTTAAAAAAAACACATAGGTAACGCTTGTGATTAAAATGTCCATTTTTTATTAAGGCAGAATTACAAGTTTTTGTTGATAAACAAGTTTAAGTTTGATAAAATATCATAGATTTGGTTTGTTTAATTATCTCCTTTATGACGAACACAGAGTACAACTCAAACCTTTAACATGAGGAGTAGGCAGAGACTAGACTTCAAGCGATCGTAACATACCTCACTTGCTTTACATACAAATATCATTGCCATGTCTCCTTACTTCAAATTGACGTGGAAAAGAAACAATGTTACCAATATGTATAAAAATATCTTGTCATCTCTTTTACTCTATTCGACAAATCAGAGACAACGATATGCAGTACAAGGAATACTGTCAACTCACACTAATACTTACGTAAACAAACTTATTGATTGAGATATTATTGGGAATAAATCCATATGTTCAAATAAAACACTACAGTTATATTTGTAGATTCAAAACGTTTATTCTTTATGAAAGGCGGGACTTTAAGTTTGCTCATTTCGATCCATTCTTCAAATTATAAAACACATTAAAAACAACCATATAGTTCTTATACTACATTTAAAGGATTATGAACTTTATTTTAATGGTGATAAGGTAAATCAATATGTAAAATTATTGTTGTTTTAAAACATAATGCATTGAATATGGTCATTATACGCTTATTTGGTGCTTTTGTGGACGGCTTTTGAAGGGTCCGCGCGCTTTTGTTCGATGACGTTTAGCGGTAGACATCTTGTTTTCGATGTCAAAAATAGGGGCGTTGATATTAGAGACCCGTATAAAATAAAACATATCCTAATTTAATTTAACTATTTCATTATATGTATAATATTCATCATTGTTTTAATAAAGTTAAAATGAAACTAGATTTCTATCATGAGTAGGCTTTTCGAAGTAAAAATAACATCGATATTTTTTTAATTGTCAAAGTACACGGCACGTTAGTCTTACTGCCACACGACTCGTTTTAACACTAAAATAGACCTTTAGTATAGCTTTTTCTTTTAAATTCTACCTTATTAGTTATTTAAGTAACGTAAAAAGTCAAATAAGTTTAGAATCTCATCCATCAAATATGTCCTTAGGCGATATGACATAAAAAGTCAAAAAATCTACGGACCCTTTAAAAATATATTTTTTTTTTCAACGTACAATAAAGTCGGCAGTCAAGTACTATACAATGAAGTAAGAGATCTCAAACACGATAAAACATGGGCTCTTAAGCACAAAGACTTCTAAATTTCTAATCGCATTTTCCGCCTGATCGTTTCTTTTCTAAGACATTTCCACATTGATTTGAAATAAATAAAATAGCACAATATATCTTTATAATGTTAGAATAGGCTTTAAGTATATTAAATATGTATTAAGAGATTTTTTCGTAGGTAAAGGACATTGTCAACTTAAGCAACGTAAGATCAGGTAGAGTTGTGGAAGACAAGATGTGTTGTGTTTGAATTAAATATTTTTACAGTCAAAATAGAAGTAGGTAGAAGAACAATTGTCATATTTATTCTGTTTGAAACAATTGAGATAATATCTTTAAGACGTTACTCCTCAATTCTTAAACATCCTTTCTCTATTGCATGGTCAGCTGTAAGAGAACTCTTTTAGAATTAAGCTCAACAGTACTACACCGCATTTCTATAATAATATTACAAACATTGCATTGTGCGACATAAATCTATATCACAGTACCTGTCGCCCCGACTCCGATTGCGCAGAGTTAAAATAAAACTTAGTAGCCTATGTTCCACATCTATGAAAAACTTTGTATTAATAATAATAATAAGCGAAGAGTTTCGACCAACATATCAAGAAGCTCTCGCTAAACAGTTGGATTAAGGGCCCGATACAAAAGGCAGTTATCCTAGAAACCGCACGCATCGTGAGAAGGTTCCTGTCTCTGCGGCCCTGACCACTGGTTGTTTGAGTCATGGGGTTCCGCAGCCGGTGGTGTTCTATTTTTAATATAATATGTTTTGTATATACATATTTTTTGGATGCATGTACTATATTAAAATATGATAAATAAATGTATAATAATAATAAAGCCTGCATTGCTTTTTAGTTACATTAACAGTAATTAATCTTGAGGAACGAAAAAATAGTTTGGAACCGGCGATAGTTATCCTTAATCTACAGCTTGTCCTAGGACAAAGGCCTCCTCTAAAGATTTCCATTTCTGTCTATCAATGAAATGCAACTTTTTTGAGGTCGTCTTCCCACCTCTTTATTTGCCTTTCTTTGTTTCTCTTCCCCTCTCGTGGGTACCATTCTGTGACTAATCTAGACCATTTTTCATTCTTCTCCACCCACTTCCAGTCCACTTCCACTTCCCATCCTTTCCTTTTAAGAAAAAAGGTGAGAAGGGAAAGAGGACTAAATTAGGCCTTCGGGACGCACACTCATCAGACTGTACTTGAAATTGCTTCCACTTGTCGCGTGTCTGTTTGGTCGTGGTATTTCACCGGGCGAGCTGGGACAATTCATGCGAAGATGTTAAAGCGGGCTCTACCACTGTTAATTACTTATTTTTTTAATTCTGCGCTGATAGGCGTCAGTTATAATTTTATACAGAGACTTTGGTCTCACAAACCAACGGTTACAAAAACAACTAGTATATAAATAATTAAATAACAATTAATCATATTTAACACTATCTAGTTGTTGAATAAATTAACAAGTAATTGTGAAGTTGTCGAGACGTTGGGGTTTCTACTCGCATCAATCTTTATTGTGGGGTGTTAACAATGTGCTTAGTAATGACATAATACATATTGCCCCTGTACTATTTTAGAGATCCCTGAGAATTTAAGATAAAAACTTTTGTTTAAATTTTCCTTTTTAAAGTATAAGCTGTCGACCGTGACACCGTCCGCGCGGTTTTAAAAAAAACTTGATTAGTAGCCTATGTGTTCTTCTAGAATATGTTTTATATGTATACTAAATTTCATCGAAATCCGTTGAGCCGTTCTGGAGATGTTCAAACATCCATCCATCTAAACATTCGCATTTATAATATTAATAAGATAGTAAGATTTATCAAGTTTAAAAGATGAAAACACATCATACAATTAAGTCCAATGAGATCTATTTATTTAATAGCTGTCGCCCGCGACTCCATCCGCGTGGGATTAAAAATAGATGTTGGCCGATTCTCAGGCCTACTCAATATGCTCACAAAATTTCATGAGAATCGGTCAAGCCGTTTAGGAGGAGTATGGGAACGAAAATTGTGACACGAAAATTTTATATATAAGATTGAACACCAACAACCATAGATGGATGGATTAGTTTTTTAATTATATCTTTTTTAATGTTTTTTATAAGTCATACGAATTCATACATTCCTACAATCACATCCGAAATGTTTGTTTAACAATTATCCGAAAAAACTTCAACTTATTTATAACGAAATTAACACGTAAATTAATTGTCACTAGTAAAATAAATTATTTTTATTCTATACGGAACGAAAAATTCAAATTTTACTTTAAGTAATTAAAAAAAACTCTACGGAACCGCCAAAATCTTTTCCCCTAACAAAGTCATTGTGCTACTGAAGTAGTTATTGCTGCATTCAAGTTTTATCACCACTATAGTTATTTATAAATGGGCTAACTATTACAACATTGGTTATAATTTTTATGCGAAATTGGCGGGAATATTTATTCGTGTGGGAATCTGTCAAAAAATTTTTTTTCCACAATAATGTCAAAAGTTATTTATCTTACAGCCAGAATTTATAAATAAAAATAATAAAAAAATTAAAACACATTTTTTATCTTACTAATATTATAAATGCGAATATTAGGTTGTATGTATGTTTATAAGAGGATATCTAAAGAACGGCTAACGAGATCTCGATGAAATGTGGCATAGATGTAGAACATAGTCTGGAAGAACACATAGGCTACTAAATAAGTTTTTTTTTAAATTCGTGCGAATGGAGTCGCGGTGGACTAGTAGTCGATGCATTCTGAAAATCTTCACGTCGTAAACCGGCTTTGTCTCGCGGTGGTCGCGGTACAGGAATTATGTTTTTTGTTTCGTAAAGTTATTAATTATTTTTATGTATATTTTTTCTTAAAAATAACTTTTATATTTAAGTATAAGGTAAACAAAATAAAAATAGAATCCTACCATGTTTTGGAAAAAACTTTTTCATGACAATCGTAAATTATATTTAGGTAAATATTCGTACAACTATTAGATTAACTTAGAAAAATCTTTGTTTATTGTTTCCGTTATTTCGTAGTAAGTATCTAATAAGATTAAACAATGAATTTAAGATTTTGAACAATATCAATTTCACTTTCAACTAATACCAAATTAGAAAAAAAGATCGTCTAAATTAAAATAAAATTTATTCATTTAAACTGAGAGGATCATCAAAATTGTAATATTATGAAATTTAACACAACAAAACTAACATCAAAACGAACCATAGTAACTCATATTGAAACTGAGATTCTGTCTCCGTCGGAGGAGAGATGTTAATAAATTGGTGAGTGGGCGAGACCGCGGTTAGCTCCGCCTTCCTTCAAAGCCTTTGCCTCTCGCTCGCACATTTTCCAATAAGGTTGTATACCAAATTATTTATTTCGTCCATAATATTATGAAGAGGAAAGATTTGATTGCATTAAATAAGCTCCTACATTACTCAACTGATTTAAAAAAATCTTTCACTGTTGAAAAGCTACACTATCCTCGGATGACAAGGTATATTTATCACTAAATATTGTTTAATTTCGCACGGACAAAGTCACGGGTAACTGATAGTATTTCATATAACGACTAACGAATGATTCTTGGTAACGGATATTCACGTAATCCTTTGACTTAATTTGGTTCGTTTGAAATGCAAGGGTATTAAAAACAAAAAAAGTTCACATCCCTTACTAAAATAGATCCACGATATCTACTCAGCCAAATGAAAACACTTTAATGCATTAAATTATAATATTTTCTAAACAAAATATAGAATAATGTAATTCAGCAGTGGAACGCTACATTTATAAGACAATTTAAATTCAAAGACAATATTATTAATGCCCAAAATAACTTTTAATAGGGCTTTTTACGTTATTTATAAAAAAAACATAGAAATGACTAGTGGATTCAAAACGACCAAAACCAATAGTGACAGTTTTTTTTACATTAAACCTTTAAACATGTTGAAATTGGAGTGTATATTCTTAATAGTAATTATTTTTACAGTTTTTGCCACAAAATTCTCTGTTAAACTACAATTTCCTCTAACAAAATTAATATCAAATCAAATTTTGAAGTATTTTTAAGAAAATTCAGATAGATAACGTAGTTATGTTAATTTACGCTACACAGCGACATCTATTATTGTGTCGAATAAAACTGTCGTTTAAACCACAAGCTTTTTTATACTCGATAAAACGATTTACATAGAAAAGTACGTGTTGAAAAAAATATAAATATGAATTAACATATTAAGAATTATATAAATATGACGTAATAAATGTCTTGCACTGCCTGGCACCGAAATTGTTACATGAAATTGTTTATTGGATCATGTCTCATTTACATATAGACAGAATAAAGTACTTTTAGTTAAATTTACATAACTTTTGGGAACATGCAGCTGACGTTAAAGTTTTGGTAGTGTGATTCAGACTTAAAAAAGTTTTATTTATTATGTCCTCTGTATGTTTATTATTTAGTGGCGATGTAATATATCCTATGACAGAATGATGAAAGAATCAAGGGCTACCTTACTCGTTAAAATCGGTTCATTTATTTACACTCTAGGTGGTCGCGATGCAATTTACATACATACCAGGTAAAAATATAGTAAATCTCTAACGCACTCAAGAATACTCTGAGAAGAAATAATGCTATGTTATAAAAAAAATACTTATAAATATCGCTTAAAACGTACATTTATTCTTTTGAGTTCTGAATTTATTTAGCAATAGCTATAATATTTTAAGAAAAACACAATTTGCCACATTCAGTTTGCAATATTTTATTTGTTCTATTATTAACGCCATGTTCAAAGAGTATATAAAATAAATGTTAAATTAAATCAAACATTCAAAGAAATTATAAAAACCTATTCCCCTTTTAAATATGTTTACTTTGTTTAAAAGTATAAAATAAATATAAGAAATTTCAATTTCAGTTTTATTTCGTTTCACAAAATATGTTGAACGCATCGTATTGACTCTGTGGTCAATCTGACGTCATGTCAAATTAGTCATCTATAATCTATGTCATTGTTAACTTATCTGTCGCAGAAAGACCAAGCGAAGCGAGTGGAGGAAATGCACGGGATTAGTACTCTGTTGAAATAATACGTCATCTTTTACTCCAAAGTGATTTCGTATATTCGTTTATAATTTTGCAACAGTCGTTTTTCATTAAAACAGTAAGTAATTTAGGCTACTACAACACAGTACTTTTCCGTATGTAACGGGTGCGTTGTTTGGTTTATGGTGTAGTGCTATACAAATGCATAATATAACCTATCTGCGCTTTGCATAATTCTATGGGGACGTAGCCTTGTAATTGATGCAGATGCAAGTGATGTGGATTTGAGAAGCGCATACTATTAAAAAAAGTAACGAAAACGTAATCAATTCAGTGCTATAAAGAGAAAAGCGTTTGCCGCGCTCCGTGGACTGTTTATTGACGCGTCCATTGCAATTTGCAGGCAATATGCCGGCGGCGCGCGGAGTAAAACGGACGGCGTCCAAATCTTCAGCCCCTGCATCAACAACAGGACCAAAAAACAAGAAAAAACGTGGAGGTAAGCGCTATAACAATGCTTCGGACAGTTGTTTTCTTTACATTTCATTATAACGTCAATGACCTGTCAAAGCATGATGGCGGGAAACGCGTCTCTTATATTGAGGTTTTAGTTGGCGCTAAAAATATATTTTAACATAAACTAATTTGTTATTCATAGGTAATTTGCATTATAAATAGTGGCACGTCTCTCTATTATTATAATTATCGTATTTAGCTGTAAAGTTACGTAAGCGTTGTCTAAATGGAATTTTTTGAGGTTAACAGATACGGATCGCTAAGTTTGGACAAGGCGACATTTCGGCTGTATAAACGATACATATAAGTTGAAAAGAGATCCTAAACTGTTAAGATATATTCAAAGGGGCTTATTAAGTTTATAAAACAAAAATTAACACAAGTTAGCGTTTTGGCGCCATATTTCTGTTCTGTATAATTTTGGCGCGCTTCATTCTAAGAACAGCTATAGACAATGTGAATTTGCATTGCAAGTTAGGTATAACGGCGTTTAACTGTATGTTGCAAAGCCTGTAGCAAATACTTTCTCTTTACACTTATCGCGCGTTTATCACTTAAATTATTGTAACACACGGCCTAGTTAGACTTTAGCAAAAAAGTAAAAAATTTATCTATAAATTTTTTATCTTTCTTCTCTCACAATTTTTAGATAATGATATATTAAAAGAAACTGGAAACAAAGTTTGTGTTGTTGATTTCAGGAAGAAACAAAATCTATAATTTTTAAAAGTAGTTTAATTGTTTTAAAATTTATAAACTCATGATGACATTGCTCAATATTATGTAAAATTGCTACAGCAATAAAAGTATTAAGTCTTGCCTTAAAATTGTAGTGAAATATCAGAATATTTCCGAACCAAATAAAATATAGATGGATATGTGACAAAGAATATGCCTAAAAAGAGAATTAATACTAGTATAATGACTGATAGAAAAGTATAAAAGAGTAAACTTACTGTGACTTAACCACATAGAGAAAGGGATATGATGATGTTTGAAAATATGTCTAATTGAATTCAATAGATGTCAAATATTAAAACAAACCTGTTTAAACAATTTTACCTTAACAATTTAACAGACGATGTTACTCATTTTCATTGAATTTTACTCTTAATTCTACGCCAAGCCATTGCAATATCCATACATCTTACTAATATTATAAATGCAAATGTCCCCCACAACGGCTGGCTGGATCTCGATGAAATGTCATAAAAATAGAACATTGTCTAGAAGAACACATAGGCTACTATTTTTTTTAACTCAGTGCAAGGAGAGTCACAGGCGACAGTTCGTTATATAATACAAGTTATCTTAGCTACTTCAGTTAAGAGATAAGAAAATTATGTCATTAAAAATATCTACATAAATGACCTTGTATTGAAAACTTGTTTTTATTCAGAGTACCTAATGAATATATAAGGAAAATTATATAAATTTTAAGTATATTTAATATAGCAAGTCATTGGTTAACAAACATTAATTTACAAAACAATAGGTGATGATTTTTACTTTTAAAGGAAGACGGAATATGGATTCTTTGAAAGAGAATACACCTAAGCAAGAAATCTTATAACATTATAAATGTGAATGTTTTAATGTACGGAAAGTATCTCTAGAACAGCTCAACCAATTATAAAATTTGGTATAAATAAAGAACATAGTCTGGAAGAACACATAGGCTTATTAGATTTTATTTTCATGCTGGCATTGTCCGGAGCAAAAGCCAGTGTAGTAATAAAAATCTTTACAACCTACTGAGACATCTAACAGACAAGACAGGCGAAGACCGACAAGGGTTTATTTGCATTAAAATTATCAAATAGATACTTATGAGCTATTGTAATTTACGGTAGGTTTCCAAGACGAAAATCCCGTTTAAAACATATTCTTATCTCTGTTTTGGATTGTTGTTACTATCTATCCAATATAGCAATATATTTTGTACATCTTGTAGTCAGAAATCAGCGTTTAGTGTCACTTGGCCTACTGGGTCAGATAAGTCTGTTGGACTGTAATATAATTTGACATAATTTCTTTATCTCTATAGGATCAAGGTCAAATGTGTTTACTATTCATTGCATACATTTATTAATATTATTATGAATGAATTTGTATTGAAACATTGATTAAGATGGTATGAAGATTTTTTTTTTAATTCTTACATTGATAAGGTGGTTTGCTAATGGCTGAATCTGGTTGTAATTAGGAATATAGATAAATTGCAGTCTGGATATTTAGAAATCAGATTTTTTTTATTCCGTGCAGATGAAATCGCAGGACTGCTACTATTAATATAATAATAGAAAAATCTTATATTTGTATTATAATTTTTTTTCGTGACTGACTTGAGATTGTAAAGTAATAATTCATTCATTTGAATGTCAATTCCTTTGGGACCTTTAGCTCAAAAAATTTAACTGATTTTGGCGAGCCATTACATTAATATTTTTTCTCCATTTGTCATAGAGGTGAATTAGTGTTTTTTCTTTGTTTTTAAATTAATTATTGTATATTTTTAATTGTAGCAGTACAGTTAGAGATCCCTAGTGCAGCAAAGAAGCGCGGCCGCGTGTTTACTTGCGGGCAGGGAGATGTCGGCCAACTGGGCCTCGGAGAGGATGTTGTGGAGACTACAAAGTTAGTATATCTTTGATTTTAAACTTTATTTTGTGAATTATATAAATGAAAATAGGATTTCTTTAGTACTTTTCTAATTTCTTGTTTTACTTAACCTAACCTCCCCGGAGACAATGCCAACTTCAGTCCGCTGCATCACCCTAGTTCTGGGAGCCCTATACTATCCAATATTGTTAACAGTTTTGTTATATACTTAACTATGAAACAATTACTCTTTGATTTAGACTTTGCCACAGTAATTTTAATCATTTCTTACAAATTAAAACAAGAAATCTTTGCTTATATGTAAATGTTTTTTTTATTTAATTGGTATTTTGTTTGCAGTATTAACTTAATTATTCTATAAAATTCTCTGTATAATGATGATGTTCAGTCTTTTATTTCGTTATGTTCTTTAAACGATAAAGTTTGGTTCCAGGTTCAAATATGTATCAGCGTTGGGAGATAAAATAATAGATATACGTGCAGGAGGAATGCACACTGTAGCTATTGATACTGATGGAAAGGTAAATCTTCTTAATAATATTATAAACTAGCTGTCGACCGCGACTCCGGACGCGTGGATGTATAAAAAAACTAAATTAGTGTAGCCTACCCATCCATCCACATCACATCCATCTAAAGATTAGCATTTATAATATTAGTAAGTTAAATAAAAAGTAACTCTTGAAGGCATACATTCGCAAAAAAGATTATTAATTAGTATCCTCTGTCCGTCTCCTGGCTCTAAGGTACCTCCTCACCAATTTTCAGGCATATCGGTAAAGCCGTTCTTGAGTTATAAATAGTGTAACTAACACGACTTTTTTACATAGATATAAATAGAGATGTGAATGTTTGGATGTATGGATGGATGACTGTCAGAAGATATCCCCTGAATGGCTACATAGAGTGCACTGATTTGAAATAGATGTAGAACATAGTCTGGAGGAACACGTAGGCAACTAATAATTTTTTTTAATATTTAATTATTTTATACGTCTTAAAGAAAACAGATGTTTTCATGTCTTTCGTATTATTTAATTCATCTTGATATTTGTCTGACTTACCACAAATTGACCTAAAGACTGAATAACAAAGTAAACTAAGGTTATGTTTGAAACAAGGGATGTAGTTCAAGGGCGGGTATGTTTACGTTTTTTTCACCCCCCCAGGGTGCAGCGACCCCACGCCGCGCTCTCTATGGGGTCACGATGTTAATGACCTCCATATGCTTACGTAAAATACATAGTTTACTAAATAATTCTCTATATTGTTATTAGATTTTAAATAATTCTCTATATTATTGTTATATATTACTGTTTAAGTACTATGGAAACCGCTATTATGTTTTACTTTTTACTAATATTATAAATGCGAATGTTAGATGGATTGATGTTTTTTAGTAGGTATCTCAAAAACACCTCAACGGATCTTGTTAAAATTTGACATAGATGTAGAACGTAGTCTAGAAAAACACGTAGGCTACTTATTAAGTTTTTTTTTTAATTCCGCTCTGACGGAGTCGCAGGTGACAGCTAGTAGAAATCTAAAATGTACAAAACAAGACAAAATTGAAGAAATTCTGCGTTTCGTCTAATAAGTGCGGTATTGGAGAACTAATTTTAGTCCCCTTCCCATCTAGTTCTTATAAGGATGGGAAAGGAAATTATATTTGACGGTGGAAGGGACGCATAGAAAAGAGATATAGTCTCTTTCTCTGCGTCTTCTTTATGTAGTAGTTGCTTCGCCATTTTAGCGAATTGATTGTGTGCTCGTTAGTTACTAATTAAAAAAAATGTTTTCAGGTGTGGACATTCGGTTGTAATGATGAAGGTGCTTTGGGTCGCATCACGAAGGGTGACAAGGACGAGGGCACACCGAGGACAGTGTCATTACCACAGAAGGCGGTGTCAATATCAGCCGGTGACTCCCATACTGCTGCCTTACTGGATAATGGTGATGTGTACGCGTGGGGAGCTTTTAGGGTATGTTTAATGCTTGTTTCCACTAACGCGACTTGTCGTGCGATTTTATGTACGACTTTCATATCATGCAATTTTTTAACAAATATAGAGACATTTATTTCCTTCGAATCAAACTAAAAATATCACAATTGGAACTAGACAAAAAATTGAATGCTAGAAATAAGTTTTTTATTGTTTTTAATGCATTTTTTATTGATATTACATACAGACACTTTAATTTATTATACATATAAATATATAGTTGTTATATAATTTGTTGTAGGATTCTCACGGCAGTATGGGTCTGGTGGTGCGCGGCAGAGAGACCAAAGGTTGTCAGGAGCCTATCAGAGTTGACATCGGAGAGACAGCTGTCGGCATCGCCTCGGGTGGTGACCATCTTGTTATATTATCTGTAAGTATATAACAACTATACTAAAAAAATACGTATTTATATATTTATTGCTATTTAATTGTATTTAAATACTCGCGCCTGTTATTTTATAATAGCAATCATCAATCTGCGGAAATGCCGCTAAATAGATTCAGGAGTTACAAAAAATAATCGAAATAATTTACCTACATTAAATACTGGTTACAACTTTATCTAAGAGATCGTTTCAAAGTTAAATGGGTTTTGATTATGTCAAACGGATTTTATCGTTCAGATTGGTAAAATACTCAAGAATGTCAATATTAAGAGTATGATAATATAAGAGGTTAGGAAGTGATAAGAGATTGCCAAATGGAAGTGCTCTGCCTACACCTCTGGGTTACGAGCGTAATATTTTTATAAAGCACTAGCTGTCGCCTTGACTCCATCCATTACAAGACCAAGATAAGATAAATCCGTTCAGTCGTTCTCGAGTTATATCGATACTAACGAACAGCAATTGATCTTTATATATATAGATTAGATAGATTAAGGCGTCAATAGCCTAATGTTTAAGGATACGTATTTCCGATCATGAGGTCGGGAGTTCGAATCCCGTCATTTGACTATTGTAAACCATATCCTAGCACAAGCCTAGAGTTTAGTTGGAATGATACAAGAAATATTAGTAAATTAACAAAAATGTGCTAACAGATAAGACTTGTTGTAGTTATTTACTATATTTTGTTTAAAAATGTCCGCAGACATCAGGCGCGGTGTACACGATGGGTTGCGGGGAGCAGGGTCAGCTGGGCCGCCTCAGCCAGCGCTCAGCCTCCAGGGACGCGCGTCAGGGATTCAGTAAGATTCTTTACTTTTATTCATTAATTAATACCAACAAAGATATGACAGACTAATAGTTTGTTGAACTTTGGTAGTATGGAATTCAAGAAAATAGGCTATTACTGCCGCGTTCATAAATTACTCTAACAATGGTAGAGCGAGCTTTAACATGTTCGCACTAATTGTCCCGGTTCGCCCGGTGAAATACCACGACCATACAGAAGACAGGCGTCAAGTGGAAGCTATTCCGCGTACAGTCTGATGAGTGTGCGTCCCGGAGGCCTAATTTAGTCCTCTTTTCCTTCCCATCCTTTTCTTTATAAGGTAAGGATGGGAAGTAAAAGTGCATCCTCTCCTCCGTCGATTAAAGGTAGGCAACGCATATGCAATTGCGTATGTCTATGGGCAACGGTCACTTCGCTATTTCAGCGATTTCAGGTGGCCGCTCGCTCGTTTGCCACCTTATCATATTAAAAATAAACTTCTGTAAAAGTCCCGTCAAAATCGGTACATCCGTATATATTTCGTGAACATTATATATTTACGTTGCTTGTAAGGAAAATCCAATTTATTTAATTTTTGTCTGTCTGTCCGTGAGACCGCGTATGTGTAATCTTCGATTTTGACGAGACTTTTACGGTACTTATATACATTTTTATTCAGCAAAGACGAGGTCACGGTCTACAGTTAGCTTATAATGTTAGAATAAGGCTTATAAAGACATAATTATAATTTCCAGGTGCACTTCTGACCCCGGCGAAGGTGACACTAAAGTTCGGAGCATCTCGTGTGTGGGCAGGATGTCACGCCACATTCGTGTTAGACGCTAATGGAGACAAAGTATTCGCATTCGGTTTAAATAATTATGGACAACTAGGTGAGTTATATGATTATTGCTTAAAGAAACCCTTAGGGTGGATTTAAAATGATTCTACACTTAAGGACCCTCTAAACTGTTATTTAACGACTCTGATAGACGCTATTGTTTAGTAATATAACACTGATAAATTAATCTGTGATAATCCATTTTTATAGTTGTACTTAAATATAATTATAACTAGCTGTCGCCCGCGACTTTATCCCCATGTAATTAAAAAAAAGTAGCTTGAGTGTTCTTCCACTATGCCTGACGTGTATGACGAATTCCATCGTCATCCATTTAGCCCTTTTGGAGATACCTTTTAATAAATATAGATCCATCCAAACATTGGCATTTATAATACGTATACATTTATTTAAAATATATGAAATTAAAAATAGAGCACCACCGACTGCAGAGTCCCATGACTCAAAGAAGTGGTCAGGGCTGCAGATACAGGAACCTTCTCACGATGCGTGCGGTTTATAGGATAACTGCATTTGTATCGGGACCATAATCCAACTGTGTAGCGAGACCTTCTTGAGATGTTGGTCGAAACTCTTCGCTATCAGTGCATTCACCGATACGACTATCAGAATAATGGTAGTCGATTTCATATCGCCACATGTCGGTAACCTCGTGACCCAAATCTAGGTATTACAGTATTAGGCATTTATAATATTAAAATATATATTTCAGGTATAACAGGTGAGAAACGTAAGACTGCGATATTCTCAGCGACGGAATGCGATGCGTTCACCAGACTGAACACAACGTGGAGTGCTGTGGCCTGCGGACAGCATCACTCACTCGCTGTGGATGGGAATGGTCAGCTGTATGCCATCGGACGGACTGATTATGGCAGGTGAGGACATTTCTAATATCATTTAAATCAATATAAATTATATTTATAAAACACATCTTTATAAGATAAATACAGAATTTTTTATAGTTTTTTTTTTGGAATAAAATAGTAGTCTGTGTTTTTCAGACTTTTTTTTTATATGATAAGATGGCAAACGAGCGAGCGGCCACCTGAAATCGTTGAAATAGCGAAGTGACTGTTGCCCATAGACATACGCAATTGCTCTCATCCGGAAAGTCCACTTCCACTTCCCATCCTTTCCTTATAAGAAAATGTGTGGGAAGGGAAAGAGGACTAAATTAGTCCTCCGAGACGCACACTCATCAGACTGTACTTGGAATTGCTTCCACTTCACGCCTGTCTTCTGTGTGGTCGTGGTATTTCACCGGGCGAACCAATTCGTGCGAAGATGTTAAAGCTCGCTCTACCACTGTTCTATATCTATGTCAAATTTCATAGAGATCCATGCAACTTCTGGAGATATCTTTTAACAAATATTCATCAAAACTTTCACATTTATAATATTAGTAAGATATACTAGAAAAATGTCTTATTTGATCAATTTCAATATTATATAGTATCCGAAATAAATCAATAGACAATAATTGTTAGCTAATTATATGTTTTAGAGTAAAAAAAAAAAAGATTACTGTAATAAGGGTCCAAAAAAAGATGTTTTCTTTATATGTAAAATCTTACTAATATTATAATAAATGCGAATGTTTGGATGGATGGATGTTTTGAAGGTATCTCCAGAACGGCTGAACGAATCCTGATGAAATTTGGCATACATATAGAACAACACATAAGTATTTATTTAAAATTCCCCACAGGTTAGGTTTGGGCGAGAGGACGGAGGACGCGGAGTACTTGGAGCCGGTGCCCAAGTTACAGAATAAGAAATGCATCAGTATAGCTACCGGCATCTCTAATTCATTTGCGGTTACTGATAGCGGTTAGTATTATAAAAAAACGAACTTAATTATAAAGAAACAAGGATATTTAAGTTACCTGTCTAGAAAATAAATTAAACATACATTGATAAAGAAAGAAAAATATAACTACAGTACTAAAAGGATTTTGTGATAGTTTTTATTATGATATGAGGGCGCTAGTGTGCTGTCATATAGTTTGACTTATACCCATTGAGAATATATCAAATGCGCTTTTCCCTCTATCAATAAAAGCGAATAAGTTTTTAATTTCCTTCCTTGTTTATTTTTAAGTCGATTTGATTTGCACATATATGATTGTCATATTTATTTCATTCCCGGTAAAATTCTGGTGACGGTTTGTCTAGTCCAATTTTTTTGTAATCAACAACTTAGAAAACTAGACTAGAAGACTACAAAGGGGACTTTAAAAAAAACAATCATGATTGTCATCTTTACCTCACTCTTTGAAAGTGATACAATAGCAACACTTTACCTAGTCCGTTTCTTTGTAATCAAAGGCTTAAAAACACTATTTTTAAGTAAATTTATAATTCATCATCATCAGCTCAATACATGTCCCTAACAAGGGGCTTAGAGCCTTTTTTACGGGGGGAAATGCAGTTCCGCACACCTGCGCCGGGCCATAGTGCACTGGCGCAGGGAGTGTGGGGCTCGTCTACAATCGTTCGGCCATAAACACTAAAACCCGTCAGGTTCTCCACCTCGCCTTACAGCTGGGTCAGGGGAACACTTGCGCAATCTTCCGCGACCCAGCCGGCAAGGGGCTCGGAGACTATCCTAAGTCAGCACTGGCTCACTGCGGGTAGACTTCACACATATCTTTGGTCTTGTCTTCACCGTAAGAACATGGTATAAATGTTTTGTTTGTGTAATGTAGGCGAGGCGTTTTCGTGGGGTATGGGCAGCGAGGGTCAGCTGGGCACGGGCGCGGCTGCAGACGCCAGCGAGCCCACACCGCCCACCAGCGCACCCTTCGACACACGCAAACCCATCAGAGTCTCCGCTGGAGGACAGCATACTGTCTTACTGCTGGTCTGTTTATTATTTTTTATCTAACGGAATTTTAAGATGATTTTTTTTTACCATTTTGTATATTATTGTGTAATTGTGACTTACTTCATATCTTACTAATATTATAAATGCGAATGTTTAGATGGGTGGATGTTTGTTAGGAAATATCTCCATAACGGCTGTATGGATCTCGATGAAATGTAGTATAGATGTAGAACATATAAGCTACTATTTTTATTCCGCACGGACGGAGTCGCGGGTGATAGCTAGTCAGCAAGTATTAATAAAGGCGAATGCTTTAGTCTATGACACTAGTCAGGAAGAGGTGAATTACAGTCAAAGTTAAAATTGCACCCTAAAAAATTTCCCAGGGCCCTAGTAGAGTTAGTAAGGGTTAGTTAGAAACAAGTAACAAATATTTGACCACAATTCCACTTGGTATTAAGAACTCTAAAGATAAGTGTATTCATTCCACTACAAAAAAAGTGTTAAAATCAAATATTCAACAGGAGGAGACAAAAGAATTATCACCACCTCCAGAGAATAAAGAAGAAATGGAAACAGTCGAAGAGACGGCGGAGGAGCAGGAACCTGAAGAGGAGAAGGTGGAGAAGAAGCGGCCGGCGAAGAGACAGAAGAAGCAAGAACAAGACGAAGAGATATCGTCCACATCGACTGCGCAGTCCGCGGAAACTAAACCAGAGGTAACTTTCTGTACTTCATCCAGTTAAAGAATTTAATTTGTTACCCACTTTACAGACAACAAATTACTTTATTATGCGTCAAATGACATTTATAGATGGGTAGGTAATAAAACTCCTCAACTGTACAGATGTTCGCTGTATTTCAGTGACAAAAGCTTATAGATTATAGATTAAACAAAAAACGGATCTATTTTATCTCTCTCTATCGGAATCTAGACTTTAACAGGCTTTTTATATCTATATTTTTAATGAAACAATCGTTTAAACTAAACTACCGCTTATAGGTTATATTTAAACTCACATAAACTGAATTTTAATGTAATTATTTTTATAATTAAGAGAAAAAAAAGTAAATAATGTAAAAGGAATACATGACATGTATGTAATGTAGAAAAAGAAAAGACGCGTGGCGACGAGTAAGCGCGCCACCTCCGCCAACAGCAAGCGACAACAGTAGCGCTGCGCTGCGGTATTAGATTCATTTCATTATATTATATAACATTATAATGACACTTGGGAAAAAATAACTATAATTCCTTATTCAATTAACAACAATCTAGAGAAAAAAAAAACGTATAAACTCGTAAATATTAAGTAATATTAACTTAGGTATACTTGAACATGGATTAGGTTTCTCGCTTATTGAGTACCTCCGTTCAGACCAATGCATCTCGCTTATCAAATTATGACTGTTTTTTTTTAATTTAATTTTAAATAAAAACTAGTTTTCTTCCCTAACTCCATCCGCGAGAAATTAAAAAAAATAGTTTTTATCCCTTTTTTGTATCGGAGGGGATGGGGGGATCTTGCTAAGATATCCTACCTTTTAAGAGAAAGACAGGGGTTATTGAGATTCTTACTAAAGACCCCTTCGCAACGCATCAACACAATTGGTAGTCTATGTGTTCTTCCAGACTATGTTCTATTTATACCAAATTTCATCAAGTTCCATTCAGTTGTTCTGGATAAATAAACATCCATCCATCCAAACATTCGCATTTATTAAGTAAGAATATACAGATATAAATATACCAAGATTGAAAAGATTTTTTTACAAGTGTCATTAATTAAAAGTTTTGTAGATTGTTTAGTTATAAGAAAAATGTATGAAATGGTAGTTTACATAAGTACGGTAATGGTTCCGTAGTTATATGTTTGTGATGTCCGTTTATATACAGCGTGTCATAAAATTCAAAGATAAAACTGTAATTTTGTATAGCCAGATCGATAACTACACGGAGTAAAATACTAAAAAACATCCATCTCTTTTTGTTTAAAAGTTACATTAACTTTTGTTAGTTTCTTATAATTTGATACCCTCCACCATATGATCAGACACTGGCTACAAATATGAAGATATTCCTGCATTTTTTTTGTATTAACTACCTAAGTAACATAACTTAAATTACTAATGTTTTGATCCAATTTTTAACTGCAATTAATAGCTTATACTTAGGTAGTTAATAATAATAATAAAAAAAATGCAGGAATATCTTAATATTTGTAGCCACAGTGTCTGATCATATGGTGGAGGGTATCAAATTATAAGAAACTAACAAAAGTTAATGTAACTTTTAAACAAAAAGAGTTGGTTTTTTTAATCTTTTTCCCTGTGTAGTTATTGATCTGTCTATATATACACCATTACAGTTTTATCTTTGAATTTTGGGACACGCTGTATAATTTGGTGAACTGGATAAGTTGGTACATAAGTAGATTCATACCTGGGTAAGCGAGAAACCTACAGTTCTTCTGACATTGTGTATATCCGTGGGCTTCGGATGAAATCATTTTAAGTGATCCGTTACCCATTTGCCGTTTTCTTCTATAAAAAAATTATATAAGTTAAAAAATATCGATTCTCGCTCGTCCAGGTTCTACTGTATTATAAGTTATGTTACTATATCTTTATTTTAGTGGTTATTGACAAACTTTCGTCTGCCAAAATATTTGTATACGAAAAATTATTATACTTTTAAATGTTTTTTTTTTAATATAGAAATCCATATTTTGTTATATAAAACTAGACAAATAACTAGGGTTAGTATAAATAGGTGATAAAACATGTTTTCAAAATGTAAGAAAGAAAATCCGACACAGTGCCGGTGTACTGGCGCAACACTAGTCTTACTAAAATGTCAACGTTTATGTCCCCTCACTAATCATTCTGACATTTGACTTGGTAACGAAAGCGCTTCATTCGCGACAAAGGATTCTAACTAATCATCATCATCAGCTCACTATACGTCCTCACCGAGGGTCTCGGTGCCTACCCTAAGTTAAGGATGATTAGGCCATAGTCAACCACGCTGGCCAAGTGCGAGTTGACTTCACACATATCTTTGAATTTCTTCTCAGATATGTGCAGCATCACGATATTTTCCTTCACCGTAAGAACGTCGGATAAATGTACACATATGTAAATCGGAAATAGAAAAACACATTGGTACATGGCGGGATTCGTACCCAGGACCTGCAGATTGCAAGTCAAGTGCTTAACACCTAACCGATGCTATTTAGCTAACAATGTATAAGAATACATATATTTTGGCAGTGAAAACCCACTTTTATAGGTATTAATAACTTTGTGGAAATATTGATATAGAATAATTGTTTCGTAATTGGTTTATATATATTTAAATTAACTTTTGTATCGAATTTGGTTAAAAATATTGTAATTTTGGTGTTAGGAAATATTTGTGCATGTTATATAAAGTATGAGTTATATTTTGTTAAATTTTTTTTTATTATCATTTTACAGAAAGTAAATGGAGATGAGCAAAAGGAAAATGTTATGGAAGTGGACGAAACTGGTTAGTTTATATCATTTTTATGTTTTCTTAGAATAATCATTTTTAGTCTATAATACGTATAACATTAATAAAAAAAACTATTTTCGAATTTTTCAGTAGGCTAAACTAAAAAAAAATTGTATTTAAAAATAGAAAAAAAAGATTTTTCGTTAACTCAAATAAAGAGTTGAACAAAATTATAATTAGATGATTTTCTTTACTTACTTTAAATTCACAATTTAAACTTTTCCAGACAAACCAGATGACAAAAAAGAAACGGAAGAAAAAAAACCCGAACCAGAAGATGAGAACGAGACAGAACAAACAGAAAAGGCAGAAATAAACCAACCGGACACAATGGATACATCCAGTCAGGAGACAACGGACAGTGAATCCAAACCTATGGATACGGATGTGCAGACAGACACACAGAACATGAACACAGACAGACAGACGGACAAAATCGACCACATACCTTCCGACAATGCCTTGGTTACATCTGCGTGATAGAATATTCATCTGATAGTTCGGATAACTGGATAGTAACAGGTAACTTTACACTCACAGTCATTTGCGATACAATTAATGCCACACTTAGGGATCATATATTAATCATGTGCTTTTTTAAGCAACTTTTTGACACACTCTGATATGTAGTAAGTTTTTTACAAGCAATTCTTCCTATCTAATCATTTTATAGTCCTGATTTTTTTTTAAATATGAATTTATTTATTAAATTAACATCCTAAATCAGAAAATTAATACTTGTTATATATATTTTTGTCATCTCCGATTTCTGAAGCCATTAAACATTAAATCATATTACTACATTAAAAATCGTTAATTGATTCCTAAAGGTGGCACTTAGTGTATACTAAATTAACTGTATTAGATTTCTTAATGACCAACGACTGAGTCTGTCATCAATATAGTGGAACCTGGATAAAGGAGAAACATATATAAGCAAGGAGTCTTTTCCCACGAGAAAAATATCGCGATTCCTTAAACTCTCTGTTATCCCGGTTCTATTGTATTTAAAAAGATTTTTTGTGACATTAATCTGTTAAATACAGTCATAAATATATAATAATGGGGTTAGAAATGTTATCAAATGTCATACAACAAAAGGGTGTAGGCAGAATGTATATTTTTTTCTATAATATATATAATAGAAAATGTATATAAACTTATATAAGCCTTAGTCGTATTTATATAAGTACTACTGAATTAAAATGTAAATTAAATAAGATTTAAAAAAAAAACTTGATTGAAGTGAAAATGAATTTATTTGATTTTTTCCATGATGGTAATTGTAAAATTTGGCACTTGAAAGTTAAAAGCAGGGGAGGGGATGTATAGGAAGGGGAAATATCCTCTGTCTATGTGTCCCTTCCTCTGTAGACTAAAAGTAGGCACATATAAAATTATTATCATGTCATTTAAATATATTAAATAATTGTTTATTTTCATTTGGTTATTACTTTTTGGGAGTTTATTTCAGCTAAGATTCAGTTTCTTTACAATTTACAAGCCAAATTGTACTTTCATTATCATTCTGCCTACCCCTTTTTTGATAGCACATATGAATATTTATTTTTTTAAAACGATTATATTGTTTTTTTTTTAATTAAAGTGTCTTATAAAGTGCATGTTTAAAACATATCTATTGTTAATTGCACAAATAGTTATATAAAAATATATAAGAAAAACTTAACAGTAGAATTCCACTGCCGTGAATTGTCTCTTCTTTGTCGAAAAAAAAAAGAAAAAGATTAGAAACTATAATATTTTTTGGTAAAAGTATAATTTGACACAATTAAAGAAGTACATAAAGATATTACTAATCATAAGTAACAATAAAATAATTATTTTATTATGAATTACTAACCGCCCGCGACTTCGTCTGGTATTATAAAAAAAAAAGGGTAAAAAGTATATCATGTGTTACTCGAGACTATGTTCTATATGTATGCCAAATTTAATTGAGATCCGTTGAGATGTTCTGGAAATATCTTCTATCATATCTCCAAACATTCGCTTTAGTAAGATTATTTAACTTGGAATATTCACTGCAGTGGAATTCAACATTAAGACACTGCTCACCCCTAAACTGTTATAGCTTCAAACTATCCGGTAACAATCCGACTATCAAATTATTTGTTAATACATAATAGTATATTTCTTATTCGAAGTTTGTGAACACAAATGTATGAAAAATTCCGTTCCCATTGTCTAAATACTTGTTTAAAAACAGCTCACTATATGTCCATACTGAGGGTCTCGGAGCCTATCCTAAGTTAGTGACTAGGTCATAGTCAACACTGGCTCAGTGCAGGTTGATTTCACATATATCTTTGGTCTTCTCAGATATGTGCAGCATCACGTTTCCTTCACCGTAAGAACATCGGATAAATGTACATGCAAATCGAAAAACACATTGGTACATGGCGGGATTCGAACCCAGGACCTGCCGATTGCAATTGCTTAACCCACTGAGCCACTGATATTAATTAAAAACATGTTAATAAGTTAAATGTTTTTGGGTAGAATTACGTATTTTTTTTAATAATTATTATTTTATTTGATTTTATTATTAATATGAGAAATTTTAATTGAGTATTTTTAATAATTATAAATTAAATCTGGTAAATTCGGTCAATTTTAAGTTTAAGGGTCGTTTTGACCCTTTGAATTTGCCCATAGTAGGGCAAAATGCGTTAACGGAGACTGAGTATTTAAATATTTTGGCATACATCATTGTAGTATATGCATAAACGTAGTGTTTGTCTCGAGCGTACACGTCATACGTACATGCCGGAGAGGGGGGGGGTCAGTCGATGTCGGACCTTTGGACCGGTAACACGTGTCGGTACGTGAACGAGTCAAATAACGCAACGAATGCTACAATGATCTTTTTTATATTTTGTCAAATATAAATAAATATAAAATTTATATTTTTAAATTCTTTTTAAAAAAGTATTTTCAGTTTTTTTTTTTAAATTTTGAGGGTATTTTAAAAAACTACAATTGTTAATACAAACTTCGAATAACTTTGAAAAGTAATCACTCGATTTCGATATGTTATGGATTTTTGACGGCATTTTGTTAATTATATTAAGTTTTATGTAAATAAAACATTATATATAAAGATTTTTATATTTTAGTCTAATCGATGCTAATAAGATCTATAATGTTAAAAAAATCTAGATTTTATTATTTTTCACAATATACCCTCATTTAAAGTCAAAGGTGCCTTAACATTAAAAAATGAACCTATGTTTTTTCCCTTTTATTTTATTGTTTGTTTTTTTGGTGTTAAAAATGCAATAGAATAATAAAAAAAGAAGTACAAATAGTTTAATTCTGTTCATAATAATGTTTTATTTACATAAAATTTGATGTTAAAGTGTTGCGTTTTCTGAGCGTTTTTAAAACGCCAGAAAATTCTAACGAGCGGTTTAAAAACGCTTAAAGGAATCGATGTGATTACTAACTGTACAATAGTATCTTTCCGGCTACTTTAGTAGCTATAAATATAAAATATAAATAAAACTGAGGTTGCTAGAATAAATAAATAAAAAATAATTTTAAGTTGAAAGCGCGGACGGAGAATGGCTGCAAATTGCAAAATTCGGGAGCATAGACAATCTAGATTATAGATCGACTTCGTTGGACAAGAAAATATCTGTTTTTTTTATTTTATATATAGAATTTTTTCGTGCATGATTATAAAAGTACAAATGTACGTTCTCTTTCTGGCGACGCTATGTTTCTTAATTGTTAATATAAAATGAATTATAATGTATTGTGTTTTCCTAATAAAAGCGGTAGATTATATTTGACTATTATTTCTCTTTCCGCCCTTATCCTTCTTTCCTTCATTTCTTGAAATTGTTCCTACCGTAGGGACCTTTGACTATAAAGCAATGGACTAGGCAAAGCGTCTTAGCCACTACGCGGAGAAGATATCGCAGTTGGTTCTCGCAAAATATATAACACACCACAGTACAAAGATTTGACACTTTTGGACGTTGATAGGAGGGCGCTAGTGAGCTCATAAATTTAGATTGACATGCCAGTTTAGACAGCTTTGTCGATTTATAATTCTAAAATTTAAAAGTAGAACCTATTTGTTTTTTATAAAAGGAAATCGTGCGTTAACAAGTCCTGTCATTAATAATCAAAGCATGCTTATAACAAAAAGGGTTATAGAAAAGAAACAAAAGTGTTTATACAATATTTTATTACTGAATAACAATTACTGGTTGTACGTACTTAATATCAAAGCGACATCGCTCTACGACTTACAAAATACACATAAACATAGCGTGTGCGCTGTCTTTGTAATCTGTGCTCTTGGCAGGAAATACATGGAATATTTCAAGCAAATATTTTATAATAAAAAAAAAACGAACTATAACCTAGAAAATTCTATTAGTCGACTGTCTCGCTCACACTCATTATTGTTTCAATAGTACTGTCTCTATCTATAACTGTCAAATTGACAAAATGGTGTTCTTATTTTAATCTCAATTCATCCGAAATATGGATTTATAATTTGAATCAATTTCATTAGATATATTTACTAAATAAAGTATATAACTTTATATTTATTTTCATTTACATCTCTAGCTTTCGTTTTTAAATGTTAATTTTCAGACTTTTAATTTTTTTTTGATAATTTTTAGTATTAATAAATTTAAGCTGAATCAGCAAAGATCTATAAAACTACAGCACATTTATAAATTGAATTGAGAAAAAATACGCCTAATTTAAAGTCTATTTCCACTGGCAAATCATTTGTATAAAACATACCAGTGGAATTTCACATTTATAATTAAAAGAAATTAAAAACATGTCTCAACAAAATCAAATTAAATTCACAATCAAATACAAAAGAAAACTAAATTTAATATATAAAATGTCTGTCTGTCCACAAAATAGACAAGAAACTATAAGAGATAAATTAAATTCGAGAATTGAAATCTAGACGTTACTAAATCGAGTCTTTTTATATAAAATATTAGTAGATTTTTTTAAATTTACTAATATTTCTTTTACCATTCCAACTAAGCTCTATGCTTGTGCTAGGATATGGTTTACGATAATAGTCGAATGGCGGGATTCGAACCCCCGACCTCGTGATCGGAAATCCGTATCATTAACCATTAGGCTATTGACACATTGGTCATATACAACCTTCATTAGTGAGAAATAATCGCGGTCCCTTGGACTCATATCCACATTTCATAGTTTCTTATGAAGCAAATTATCAAAATCGAATAATAAAAATCATTACTTATTAAAAAAAAATCGAAAAATGAAACACTTCTATAATTTTAGTACGTTATATATCTGACAATTGTACCATATATGTATAGTTAACATATATCAATATGTATAACTCATTACACAAAATAAACGTTAAAGTACTGGAATTATTCCTCCCCAATCTCAGTGTCTTCACAGTCTGAAAGTAATAATTATTTTCTTACTGTGGGTTTCTAAGATCAAAATTCCTATATAAAACATATTATAAACATGGCAAAGGTATATTTTAAAAGAGGATGTTGGTCTCAGAAACCTACGGTTTGATATTGCTATAATACAATTATACATCTGATGACAATTCTAGTCCTATTCCCTCTCCACTTATAAAAATTGATAGGGAAAGTGAATTTGATAGGGTAGAGGTAGTGGGGTTTAGGAAAAGGAAATATCATACTCTATCCATCCTTTTATTTTAAAGTAAGTCATCTTTATAAACAAGTCTCTGTCACTATTACTAAACAGTTTCATTTGCCTGCCACAAAAATCAAATAAACTTACGGGCTAATTTACCGGAGGCCTAATTCATTCCTTCCCTTTTTCTTATTAAGTAAAGATGGGAACTAGATTTGACAGAGAGGTCACATAGAAAGGGGAAAAATTCTCTTTCCCCGAATCCCTTTCTCTATCAATTAAAATTAGACTACACATATTCCTTTGCAGATGTCTAAGTGCAGCGGTTGCTTTGTTATATCGGAGAAAAAAAATTCTTAACTTGAATAATATTTTTATAATGTTAATTTTACCTTGGTAATGTACTCCATTAGAGTTCTCAAGGCGAAGTTGTCTCAGACGTTCAGCTGGTGCTTCCTCGCTCTCTTCTGCATCCTCAAACTCTTCATCACCTATGATTTCTTTTTTTTTTATATTTATAAACACAGAAAATACATTTGTCGTTAAAATTTGTAAACTATACAATATTTTTGTCACATAATATAACCCATACTAGCTTTTAACCACCTGTTCTTCGAGACTATGTACTACATCTATGCCAAATTTCTATGAAATCCTTTTAGCTGTTTGGAGATACCTAATAACAAACATCCATCCATCCATACATCTCATCAGTAAGATAAAGAGAAATAGCAGAATTGCCATTATATGAATTTATTATTAAGTCCAACACTAAAATAATGAATCAAAATAGCTTTGTATGTTTCATTAATAGTCACAAGTACCTTCATTGAAATCCTCTCCGTCAAGGTATGGGTCATCATCATCCACCTCATCTGTAGGATCAGGATGTAGAGACTGACCCTGACTCATTGCCGAATACATCTGCTGAAGGTCACCTTCATCTTGTGGAATGAACCTGGAATACAAGACACGTTTAAAAATACTTTCTCCTTTAGTCTTTAGTACTTAGCATGTCATATACTAAATGTTGTTTAGTCACTAATTAATAATTGAGTGAGACATCAAAACTAGAATACGACTCTGTCTAGTTTAAAATATTCAATTCACTTGAAAACAATATTAACACACAAAATAAATTAAAATAAAAACAAAAATCCATAACGGTATTATTCAAAGATCTTGGCACCTAAGAATTCATTTATTTATTTGGTCAACAAAAGTACATGTGTACTTATATACATTTTAGGCACTATTCAACAAGAGGTTTCAGGAAACATGTAATTTCACTTACAAACAAACACAACAAGTATAAAGTATTGGTGCATAAACAATAAAAAATAGAACAAAAGAGTATGAAAATAGAGTAAATTACAAACAATAAGCTATTATATAAAATCAGTATATAATGAGTAGGTATTTAAACGACTTGTGAAACACAATTAAAAGCATGTATATAATAATATACATACTTATACATACAAGAATCTATACGAACTGCTGAGCGGAACAAAATTTTAAGGTTTTTTTTTTATAGGAGAAGGCAAACAAGCAATGAATCGCCTAAAATTATTTGAACCGACACCCATGGACATCCGCAACACCAAAACAAAGAAGAGGTTTAGTGGGCCAGTCAGTCAGTAGCGAGATGAATAATACTATACTGTATTAAGTCATGAACAACAATGTTAATATCATAGTTTGTGGTTGCACTGAATACTTTATACAATCCTTACCGTAACTGTGTGATAGGTTGATCATCAACATCAAAGTCATCATCATCATCACCAGCATCACCAGATTGTGTAGTCAACTCGGGTAATCTAGAAATAATATTAACAAATCATCCATATTAAATTATTCAAACTTTTGTGAGACATTATACTAAACTTATATAAACATGGCTAAACACTGACGTATATTCGTCCGGTGGCGGCACCAACTAGTTTTGAGCCCATCGGGGGCCCTTCATCAGGATGAGTGGGACTGGTTTTATTTTATATTTACCACTCATCCTGATGAATGGCCCCCGATAGGCTCAAAACTAGTTGGTGCCGCCACTGATATACGTCAGTGTTTAGCCGTGTTTATATATCAGTTTAAATCATCAATATTTTAGCATCCCCCGAACAATTCTTGGTTTGATCTAACCTTTTTTAACCAACATAATAGTTGATAGATTCACTATAATTTATTACACACTCCTCAAAAATTATTTAAAAAAAAATGTCAGATATTTTTACTTTGAATTTTTTTTCAATTTAGTTAATCTACAGAATGAAACCTTTTAGGACTTTTCACATACAACATTATACAAAACAAATATTTTGTTATTTTAATTATTATATAAATAAAACATGCAGAAGATTAACCCAAAAATGTCTAAATTGCTATTTTAACTAAATTTTCTACATTAATTAACATGTCAAAAAATTCTCAGTATCTATGTAGAAAGAATTTCCAATTAAAATAATTATAAACCTCACCTGAGTTCATAATTAAGCACCATATACAATGCTGCGGAAGGTTCCCTCTGTATAGCATGCAGTGAGATGTTGGGGTACAATAAGGAGATTGTTGGGGATGGACCTCCATTATTACCAACACCCCCTCCCCATACAACATTGCTAAAACAAAAATTATCAAAATCTTAGTAAAATATACTTTAAAATAATAAAACAATGAATATTTAGTTGAACCAGGATAAGCAAGAGTTTAAGGGACATCTCTAATCCAAAGATTTTTTTTTTTTATGAAAGTCCTTTGGAACTAGACAAAGACTAATATAGTTTTCTGGCTTATCCAGGTTCGAATGTTTTGCTGATATGTTATACAGGTCGTATGTAGGTGTATTAAGCATGAAAAATAATATTTTTACCCAACAGACACAAGAGGGATGTGTTTACTTGCGCGTATATAACTTTTATTTATGTCAATTCTATTGCGACGGCCTAGAGCCTAAATTTATTGGTTTATATAATGTAGAAAGTAGTCAAAGAGCTCTATTTATAATTAACTTACTGTTGGGTGATATATAAAGTTGCAGTTCCTAATTCTTGATCGTTTACAAGCAATTTTGTGGAAGGACTTTGCATAATAATACCCTCCACCGGTTCCGAAAATGAAGGCGAAACTACTACCATTTTGAGAAATTTACTTTCTAAACAATACTTTCAGAATAAGCGGCTTACAGATATTAATTAGTCGGGTATTTATATATTAATAGCACTGGTTAAAGGTAAAAGAACAAACAAAATAAATTCGCCTGAAACACGTTTTGTTCATTACTTTTCGACTTTTTAATTCTTTGATCGATGGAACACAGAGTAAATAATGCACTTCTGCGTTTGAGTTAGGATTGCTCCAAAATTTTCAATAAAGTATATTTCTAAATTTTAAAATTTAAAAAAAAATTGTCTTTACGGAATTTCATAATATTAGATAATTTTACTTTCTCAATTTACTCAGTATGAATATTGTATCAACTTTATACTATGTCAAATTGCAAGTAACTAAACGCAAATGTCAATGTCATGTCATTGAACTGAAAATTTGTAAAAAAAAATTAAACAACTTTTGTGCCGGTATATTTGGGTAAGTAAATAATTTCATTTCATTAAAAATTGATAAGGAGATTACTTCATGAATTATAAATTGTATTTTATAAGAAATTCCAGTAAAATTACGTCATAGTATCTTAAAAGACAAACTTTTAAGCAAGGTTTCAAATGCACTCATTCACCGGTACTTTTGAGAATTTAAATCATTTCATAAAGTTAGAAAAGCTTTTAAAGAAAATATTTATTCATTCATAAATCATACTTTAGTGCAAAAGGCTTTATCAACTTGTAGGCACGAAAAATATTTTAATGTCTTAACTATCAACATGATCTACGAATTTACTAAGTATGATTAACTTTTTAGTAAATGTTCTACTTATGAAATTATAAGTAACATCTAAAATCTGATTGAAACCATCCATCCATAACAATTGAATGAGGTCTAAATTTTAAATATATAGTTAAAACCATCCTTTTATAGATTTAAAAACATTAAACTGTGAAGTAGTTATTAAGACTATCTTGGCAAGAAAGAAATCTTTTTCTTTTTATGAATATTGTATTATATCCAGTGTGCTTGTAGTTGTTTCTCTATTAAAAGATTGTAAACGAACAAATAATACAAAATTGTGAACTGACCTCTGCTCATAGATATCTGCAACGAGATGTTGATACATTATCTACTTTAAAATGGACAGAAGAGGGGATGTAGAAAAAAATGAAGATTTTTTTTAACATGAATTTTCATTATTACTCATACAAGAACTATCTATAATAATTTGGAGAGATATGCAAAATAAAATAAATCTATAGAACTTGCCGCCACAAAAATTTAAACTGATTTTTATATGAAACATAAAACAAATCTTTTTATATATTTCAGTATATTTTTCTAAACTGTTAAGAAAAATTACGTTATTAATAATTTCAACTATCAACTTATACAGCAGCATATGGTTTTGTGAAAAAGCGCCATCTATCCGATACTCAATTCACTATAACAGCGACATCTAGCAATTGTTTTAAAAGGTTTTAACAAATGCTTAAAATATTTGCTTCGTTAACTTTCAAGTTTTCGAATTTAAACAGATCAAGTTTTTATTACGTTCATATATACGTCATTCTCAACCAGAATTAGTTAATTCAATCGTATTTTTAATAAAAAAAAAATAAAAGTAATTTTATTGGCTCAAAAAAAATCATAGCTTTCATAATGTAATAATATAAAGTTTGTGTCATGTTGTTATCCTTAGGATCAATTACAACGTTACCAACATTAGAAAATATAGGCAATATTCAAAATCTGTATATCCCAAAATGTTTTAAAAAAAACATCATGTGAGCAATAACACATTAAACAGTGCTTAAAGCGGAGAAACTACATATTCCCAAAATATAAGGACATTTCTTACTAAATCTGGCAACACTATACGTCAATAACCGCCATGTTGCAATACCGTGACACGCGTTGACTATTTACTTATCAATATTTGTGTACAGATAAAAAATAACATGTTGCATGTGGTTATATTTGATTACTGCATGGTGCTTTTACTGAGAGATAGTACTAAAGAAATAGTCATTGTAACTCAACTAAAAATTGATGAGCTACAGATCAGTGAACCGGTTCGCAATTCAGCTCAATTTGAACTTGCATAGAGTTATGATTTTTGTTTCGAGCTGCGATCTGTGAGTCATCAGGCAGCTCGCGTCTCATCGAAACATTTATTACCACACAGAAAAAAAGAGAAAAATTCATATATACACTGATTTATAACAAAAAAAATGTGGCTACAAGTTTCAGCTCAGCGTATGCAGGGACAGCCTAAACAGTCATTTCGCTGGTTTTCAGTTGACTCCTTTGCATCCACCAGAGTAATATAACCATGGATATAGATAACTCTACGTCAATTGAAAACGATATGAGTACATCGCGTTGAGCTGTCAATTTAGTTGGTGAGCAGCTCAACGGTTCAAGTCTATGTGTTTTTAAAGACGGCAGATTACAAACATCAGAAAAGTGACAATATTTGTGAAACTTTTGCTTTCTAAATTAACCGTGAGTTTCCACTGCCGAAAAATCTTTACAGACACATTTTTTATCTGGTGTTTTTTCATATTTTTTGTAAATGTATAGGTGAAAACTACGACGCTATAACTGTAATAAAATAAAAACTTTAAAATTACTCATGAAAAGGAAAAAAACAGAAAAGGATAACAGTAATATTAATTATTCTTAGATATTATTATTTACTGCTGACTTCGTCCGCGCGAAATGAAAAAAAAGTAATAAATATAGCCCATGTCCCTTAGAAGAGTGTAGCTTCCCAATTGAGCCGATTTGAAAAATTCTATTCAAATCGATTCAATAGTTTCGGAGCCTATTCAATATAAACAGTCATTTCTTCTTTATAATATTAATATAGATTTTATATTACAAAAAAATTAAGTAAAAATCGGTAACAAAACTTGAATCATACAGGGTTAAAGCCAAATTTAATAAAAAAAAAATTGCGTAAATTTGCGACATAAACGGTTGTATCTTTTGATTGGGTTGGTTTAGAAGTTTTATTTTTTCAAAGCACCTAGCAACCACAGACCTGAACATTTGATATAAATTCCAGCTTGATACCTTCACGCGTTTTTTAGAAAAAGTGTCTTGATAGATAGACGGACGGACAACAAAGTGATCCTATAAGGGTTCCGTTTATTTCCTATGAGGTACAGAACCCTAAAAATTGAAACGCTTCTTGTCAAAAACAAAAGCTGTTTGCCCATCTGTAAAGTATTTTTTGTACAAAATAAATTGATGCCCAAAAAAAATTTGATTAATCATTTAATTTGATATTTTTAGAATTTAATTTCAAACAAAAAAAACATTTCTATATTAATATTACGTAAAATATGTAACAATTTCTAATGTTGAACGTGGAACGTATATTAAAGAATATACCATGAGTCATCGGTTAACGTAGCTCGGGTACTGAGTTCAAGGTCGTTTTGTAGAGCTTTATAATTAATATAGGTAATCAATGTAAGGTATAACTTAAACTAAAATTAGAAATATGACGTCTACTTTGGAGAAAGTATAGATAGATTGTATTTAAGTTTCCAATAGAAAACATCAAAAGGTCAAGAGACACAAAGTATTTTTTTTTATGTCATAACGTGACAAACGAACGAGCGGCCACCTGAAATCGCTGATATAGCGAAGTGACCGTTGCCCATAGACATACGCAATTGCATATGCGTTGCCTACCTTTAATCAACGGAGGGACGATGCACAGAAAGAAAATATATTCCCTTTCCATGCATCCTCTCATCCGGAAAGTCCACTTCCACTTCCATCCTTTCCTTATAAGAAAAAGGTGGGAAGGGAAAGAGGACTAAATTAAGCCTCCGGGACGCACACTCATCAGACACTTCACGCCTGTCTTCTGTGTGGTCGTGGTATTTCACCGGGCGAGCCGGGCCAATTCTTGCGAAGATGTTAAAGCGGGCTCTACCACTGTCATATACAGCTTATGAAAGAGGATGCGCTTTAAAAGGAATGAGATTAGTTATTACGAATGATAGAGATCTATGGTAGAGTAGTAAGTAAATACTTTAACTAAACTACGTAAGAAAGAAATTAGGATACTATGTTAGATAGACCACTCTTTCCCAAAGTGGGGGATAACGCCCCCCTGTGAGCGCTGCGGGTCTCAAGTTGCGGGTTATAGTAAAAGTTTCGTTTACAATTCTCCGTTAATATACACATATAGATCACAATAATTAATTTATTTATTGTGAAGTTATAGTGCTTTTTAAATATGTAAAAATATGGGGGGCGCTAAAAAAAATATTTATTCTTAAAGTGGGCAGTAGACAAAATAAGTTTTGGGAACCATTGTGATTGACCAATAAAATTGGGTTATATATTAGTATAACTTTCAATAAATAGTAGATTTCCATTGCATAAATACAACATATCATCGTTACTTGAATTATCATAAAAATAGAATAGACATATAGAGAAGAGGAACCCAGTTATGACTCTACCAGACTTTTTTTTCTCTAGATTATTAGCCTCTCCTCTCATGTATGCTGCAATAAGATATACAAAGACCAAATTAATTAAGGTTATTCAGATTTAACAAATTATATCTTACTAATATTATAAATGCGAATGTTTTGATGGATGGATGGATGGATGTTTGTTTGGAGATATCTCCGGAATGGCTGCTGAGATCCTTTCTCGATGAAATTTGGCATAGATGTAGAACATAGTCTGGAAGAACATATAGGCTACTAATTATGTTTTTTTTATTACGTGCGGACGTAGTCGCGGGCGACCACTAGTATAAAATAAAGATTTAATATTACTAGATGTATGACTATGTATGAATTGAAAAAAAACTTGATTAGTAGCCTATGTGTTTTACCAGACTACGTTCTACATCTGTGCCAAATTTCAGCGAGATCCATACAGCCGTTCTGAAGATATATTCTAACAAACATTCGCATTTATAATATTAGTAAGATATTCAATTATTCATTCCATAAACTTATTATTGAATTACTTAACTCTATATTAATTATTAAGTGACTAATTAAATTAAAATTAATCTACCAAAATAATTCTATAAACTATATACTAAAACTAAACCAAACTAAATAATATAAAAAATCGACCCAAAATCGCTGCGGTCGCACGGTAGATATTCTATGGTTTAGTACTAAAAGATTAAACTTGGTTAGTAAATA